AGCCTTGTTCAAAAAGGTAGGTTGTTGCAAATGGCAGCAATTTTTTTACCGCCTCCTCGTGTGCAATTTTGAAAGCCTTTGCAGCCTTCGACAACCAAAAAAACGACTTTGCTTTGGTCTCAAATTTAATACAGTATTGGATGGAAGTTCAAGAATTGCCTCTGCCAAACCTGGAGGTTCTGCTGGTATGTTAGTAATTTCACATTTAAAAGGATCTACAACCCAAATCACAGTTTGCACATCAAGATCTGAAAAGTAGTCAGAGAACCGCTCTCTGAGTTTGGAAAGATGAAATTAGAAAAATTTCCATATTACCCAAAAAAATTTTTACCAAATTTTGGGTAATTTACCCCGGTTCCCCGACCGCTGCCTTATACCAACAGCTATTGCTATATCAGTGATTCCCAAATTGTGCCAAATTGACTTGGGGTGTCAAAATTCTGATATATTAAGGGCGCCGTTTGGGAACCACTGCCTTACATCATTTGGATTCAGTGACATTGCAGTCCCGATCATCTGCACATATCAGTTGGTACGATTGACACGAAATTTATGTCTCATGTCACGTATAGTGCGGATGCAACTTAACAGTTACACTTTGTGCACGGATCGAAAGTCGATTTGAATTGTACAGTTAACGTCCACCACACACTCTCGAAAACATGCACACTATATACTTATTGCTACCTTCCTTCCTCCCTCTTCTGTGTCGCCGTGCTCGCAAGTTTTCGCTCGATGGAACTTGAAACGGGTTTGGCCTGCCTGATTCAGATCTTGGTGCTTGCTGCCTTCTCCGACCGTGCTTCTTCGTGCTTTCCACTCCAACGAGGCTCGAGCAGAGCAAAGAAAGCAAAAAAAAAAAACAACAAAAGACCGCATCTTCCACCTCCTCTTCATCCACACGACCGACTACGCTTGTAACCAGTATTTGAAAGAGATTTCCGCAAAAGTTTAAAACAAATTGTAATATGTTTAGTTTAACACTATAAAAGTATTGAACGAATTATTATGATCGATATTATAATTGCATGGCGTTTATTTTGGAGAAATCGCGTGCGAAATTCAGCTCTCTTTATTGATTCATTTCTATTTTAAATATTCGCGGATTTTTCGTCTACCTTTATCCGTCGTCTCCTTCTCTTACACACACACACACACATCGCTTGTGTGCAAATGGATCTAGAAAACGGTGACCGAAGGTCGATTTATTTAGATCGGCTTAGTGAGTAAATGTATGGACTCTGACAACAGGATAAAGGGGGACAACGATTCGAAGGAACGTTCTATTTCCACGCCGCAGACAGGATACGTCGAATAATTCAGGACTAGACGCACACATTAACGAAATGACAAACAAACAAATAACAATACAGTAGGCATCGACGATCAAAGAGTGCAAGTGCTAAAAGAAATATAATAATATTGCATAATTTGAAGATTAGAAATAGTCCTTTAGAAAACGCAACATTACATCGTTTTGTTATTAATAGATTGAAGAATCATAAATAGAAATAATCGTTTATTTTGATTCTGAAAACGAAAATCGAATCGAGATACCGTTCCTAATTTTCCAAGAAACTGTTTATTTTGAAACCAAGACAACCAAAGTTCAAGCGATGTTAGTCACGATAACAAATAGAAAAAAGTCCACTAATGAAGCGTATAAATAAGTAGTACAAATACTCGCTGTTCCTTTCAACGAATGAATGCAAACACAGTGCAATGTTTATCCATTTTTTAAATTGATTATCATCACTACAAATTACAAACTAATTGCTTTATTCAATTAATTGAATTTTTTTTTTATTATTTCTACAAAGTCGAAATATTTCAGTTTACAAGTTAAATATGAAGAACATAATTTAGTTAATTTTTTGAGGCCTTTGCAGTCACTGAACTCGATCAAATTTCTACTGTTTTGTTGTTGCCCATTGAATAATGCATGATATTCTATTTGTTTTATTTTCCATTACGAATCTTTACCAGTCACGTTCGTTATTATCTAATCATTTCGCAAAACTTAATTGTTAATCATCTGAAAATTGTTAAATTTTACATACATTTAAACGAATAGATATTAATATTTAATGAAGCTGTTAAAGCTTAGCGTTTACGACCTAATGTTAACAGTTTTAATGAAGAAACGTCTATCGGCGATTACTCACTTTTACAAGTGTTTGCATTACTCACTCACGTAACTGTTGCTAAGTAATTTAATAAGTAAATGCAAGTGGGTACTCGGCAAATACTTGCGAACAATTGTGCGCAATGTCATAATTTACAAATGACGTTCAAAATTCGAAATAATCAAACGTTGGAATCTCTTCGATGCGGTCGGGAATACGAATGAAATCTCTATCTATATATCAGCGGTTCTTTGTATTGTTGTTTTCACGCATTGCGACTGCTTTTCGGTTTCCCCATTTCCTCTTTCCGCACCGGAGTAGTACCGTACATCGGTTCGCTTTTGTTTATCTGTTTCATTTTTGTTTCCGCCGCGGCGCGCGACATCCTGCTGCCACCGCTGACGCCAAATCGACGCAATTTCATCGAGACGTCGCAGTCCGAAGGTGGCGTCGCTTTGTGTATTCGTTTATTTTTTGCTCTGGCACGAACATCGATTGCGACCTTTTTTTTAGGGGGGCCGTTTTTGACCCTTGTTCATCATCGTCTTTCGTTATGTCTCACTGCAAAGTGGCCAAGTTAATTTGTGCCAATTAAGGTCGACGAAAAAGAAATGCCATCATCCTCCCATTCGCGACGCGGCGTGTGGGCTTTTTAAACTGGACTAATACTATTATATATACACTACCGAGTCACACACATATATATATAATAAAGTAAGAAGGTCTCATTGATGACCGGCGCTGCTGCACTGGTCATCATTTTTTAGTTAGTCAGTTAGTTAGTTTCTCTTTCGGTGGTTACGTGTACATCATATATCTTGTGTCCTTCTGCTGCGCGCTGTTCCGGCGAATATTATTGGAATACATCGCAGCCGATTGCCGAAGGTAAAAATAACTCGGAAATCTGGTTTCTCGTTTCCTCCAAACCGTGCCGATATTACCAATATGTACACATTAATAACTAACCGCGTCTTCTGTTTAAAATTTATCACTTATTAAACAATTACATATTATTTTCCAATTCTAATAAATTTTAAGTAGGCTGAATGTCGAATGTAATATTGCAATGAGATAATGAAACAAACGCAATCTCTTTTGTTTTTTTTTACTACTTAAGTCTTCGTTTGACTTAATAACGGACTTCTTGAGCACAGGAAGTCGGTATTTACAGCGAAAACAAGTTTGTTACGCATTTCCAAGAAGAAATACAATATAATATAGTTAAATAAAGACCATTTCTAAAAAGAAAACTACAATATATATATATAACAGTTTTCTATTCTTACAAACGCCTCATGACTCATACGACTATTAATCATTACTTAGATTAGGGGGATAAGAGACTCATTGACTGACCAAACTCCCTACTACTTAATAATAATAATATCTATATAATTCAGTATTTCCAGATAATTTTCACTTAATTAATCTAATCACAAATGAGTTTTAAAACGATAAAAATCAATAATAGCTTTTAGAATTTCAATCTTAACTGCAGTGAATTTATTTTGATGAGAGAAACACCTACAACTAGCACGAATAATTGATATAGTTGAGTTAATTAGATATCGCAGAAAGGATGTCAATTATGTCATGAGCGTTTCGTTTTATGAATATTCGCATACGGAATTAATTCCGGATTTGCATAAGCCCCGGCAATTAAATGCTGATCACATCGGAAGGCATGTTTCCGTTCGATGAGCAGTGCTCTTCAAGTCGGTGCTCCGAAAGAGAGGATAAGAGAATACTAACTATATGTACGAGCAGCTATGCGGCTTCGATTCAAATGCAATTGTCCAGAGTAGTTGTCCTTTAATGAGGAAGCTTTTTATCTGTCCCATTCCGTCGTCGTCTACCCACCTATCTCTCCATCTATCTTCCCCCCCCATCCGAACACTACCAATCGAAATTTGCGCTTTCTTGACCCAATTCACAGCAATTAATCAATAAGTCTCGTGTATCTTTTTTTTAATCCAATTAACTTATGCGACACAGACATAAAACTTAAGAACCTTTTTTCTTTTCTAAATAGTTAATAGTTAGAAGTTAATGGTAATTTTGGTATGATGGTATCCTCTGTTTATATTTATAATCATACATTCAATAGACCACGATTTTTTTTAATAACGAACATTACTCTTCGTAATTATCCATGTCTTCTAACTTTTATATTCAAATATTGAAATTGCATTGTAAGCTTACGAAACAGAAAGGCAAGGTGGTGAAATTAGATGTAAAGAAAGTCAACAATTCAAACTTATTAACAATTAAAGTAATGTATGTTTCTTAGATTCCGCATACGATTATTGAAACAGAAGTTAAGGGGTTTGCGTGACACAAAAGCGGCAGTAGAAATAATGCGCATGTCGAAGGTTTTCCCTAGATTTTCATGCGAGGGACGCATGAAAATAGTTCATTGCACTTGCGTCCGAATTCCAATCACAGATACATCCCGTTTTCCTGCACTTAAAGCCCAAGTCTACCAGATTAATTAATCCGACCGTCTGCGGCAAATCGAACAGAGCCAAAGTATTGACCTAGTTGTGCGCGCTTTTTGGCGAGGTCGCGATTTCCGCCAGCGAACCCTCCCTCCCCCTCTTTCATTTTCCATTCCGTTACAACAACAACAACACCCCCTATTGTCGAGGAAGCGCGCCGTTCTATCGATCCGACGACCGGGCGTCGCGACGACGCCGACGTCGGCTGATATCCGCCTCGACTCGGCCATCATCATCATCATCAACAAGTACCGCAGTTACACTCTTCGTGTGCTACATCCACCACCGCACAACCAACATCGACCTGCGACGAAACTCTTCCACTTCCTCCTAATACACCACCAACAAACAACCACCGTTATATAATAACAATGTGTTACGACGCGAACCACCTTGAAAAATTCTGTAAGTAGCTAACAAATCGCAACCATCATACAGTGAATCTTTTCGTTTCATCGAATTATAATTAATAAAAATCGATATTGCGGTTATCCTAGGAAGAAACTATAATAAATTTTAATACATATAGCTTTTGAATCGATTAGCGGATTGCTGCGGTCTCCGCGTTTGTTTTATTTTTTTTATGTGCAATGCGCCAATCGAAATTGTACTTTCTTTTATCCTTTTTTATGCATTGACCTACAATAAACAAATGTTAATAATTCATTTCTACTTTTAAACTTATTGTGTAATGTTCTGTTCTTATTTTAGCGTGTATATTTTTCAAATTGTTAGTGAAGCAATTGCGGTGGTCTTGATTTAATCGATAGTGCGGATGTCGAAGGTTGCACTTCAACAATTGTAACGATATTTAAAATACAAAACAAATCGGTCATTAGATGAACAAATCTAAGTTTATGTGTTCTTTTTATAAAAAAAAAATGAACAATTTCCACCTAACCAAATTGGGATGCGCAAAGAAATGACCTTAACGCAATGACCTTTTGCCCAAAAATAAAGAGTCTGAAAAGAAAACAAGCGTATTGCAGATATCGTTTGCTTCCACAATCGATTTCAGTTCAGTTTTTCGATTGTCCGATTTTAGTATTATTATATTTTAAAACTCGTTTTATAGTATTAATTAATATAAATTCTTAGAAGTGATCTCGGGACAAAAATAATAAAATTAAAAAAAAATCAAATGAATTGAAGTGGAAATAACGAACTAATCGAGGAGTCTTTGAAATCAATTGACGAACGAATCGCGCTGTCCTAGATTCTAAGTGAAAATTTACGGTTCGTCGCAACTTTACGTGTATAAGTATACTATATATATATATTTATTTCGCTGCGCTCTTTCGAAAACAACAGTTACGCAAGAGACGAAACAAAGCGGCCGCAGCCGGGAGGAGGCTGCGAAAGGTCAAAGAACCTGAAGAGAGGCCGACGCCGTTCGACGCTCGAATAACATATCGAGAGAAGAGACTAATTCGACATACATACCGACAATTGTAATTAAGATATATATGTAACAACATTACTTAATTCGTTGTCGTCTCTTTTGTAGTTGTAATAAATTTTAATTAACATTTCGTTTCTTTTTATTTGCAGGAGGCCATAAGGGCCAAATACTAGCAAAATGACAACGGACATAAGTCTCTCCCGCTGGGATCCGACTCTCCAGCAGGAGATCGTCGAAGAGTACGAATATGACGGAGGAAACTCCTCGTCCAGACTGTTCGAGAGGTCGCGTATCAAGGCTTTGGCCGATGAGCGCGAGAGCGTCCAGAAGAAGACCTTCCAGAAATGGGTCAACTCGCACCTGGTGCGGGTCAACTCACGCATCTCGGACCTCTACATCGATCTGCGCGACGGCAAACAGCTCATCAAACTCCTCGAAGTCCTCTCCGGTAAATAATTTGCACACCCACACACTCATATATAAGTCTACTACTTGTAGACAGACCGCATCACAACTTGACCTAAATATAGGACGTCAACCTATTTTATTTACATACTTTTTTTTCGTATTGATGCAACTTCTTGGAATTCAATTGTTGTTTCTTTATTTAGGTGAGAGACTTCCTAGGCCGACGAAAGGAAAAATGAGGATTCATTGTTTGGAAAACGTAGACAAAGCGTTGCAGTTCTTGAGGGATCAACGCGTGCATCTGGAGAACATGGGATCGCACGACATCGTCGACGGAAACTCCCGTCTATCCCTTGGTCTCATCTGGACCATCATCTTGCGTTTCCAAATCCAAGACATCACCATTGAAGAATCACCAAACCAAGAGACTAAATCCGCCAAGGACGCTCTTTTACTTTGGTAAGTTATTTCTTGAGATCTTTTACATAATTTATATTTTTGTACGATGAGTGCAGGTGCCAGATGAAAACGGCTGGTTATCATAATGTGAACGTGAGGAACTTTACGACTTCGTGGAGGGACGGTCTGGCCTTCAACGCCATCATCCACAAACACCGAGCCGACTTGATACAATTCGACAAATTGACGAAATCGAACGCCATGTTCAACCTGAACAACGCTTTTAACGTGGCCGAGGATAAGCTCGGTCTGACGAAGCTGCTTGATGCGGAGGACGTGTTCGTCGAGCAGCCGGACGAAAAGTCGATCATCACATACGTGGTCACGTACTACCACTACTTCAGCAAGATGAAGCAGGAGACTGTGCAGGGCAAGAGGATCGGCAAGGTGGTGGGCATCGCCATGGACAACGATAGGATGATCAGGGAGTACGAGTCGCTGACGAGCGACCTCCTCGCCTGGATCGAAAGCACCATCGCCACCCTGGGTAACAGGACGTTCGCGAACAGTTTGATCGGAGTGCAGCAGGAGCTGACCCAGTTCAGCACGTACAGAACTGTGGAGAAGCCGCCCAAGTTCGACGAAAAGGGCAACCTGGAGATCCTGCTCTTCACGCTTCAGTCGAAGATGCGCGCCAACAATCAGCGCGTGTACACGCCCAAGGAGGGCAAGATGATCGCCGACATCAACAAGGCATGGGACAGGCTGGAGAAGGCCGAGCACGAGCGGGAATTGGCTTTGCGCGAGGAATTGATCAGGCAGGAGAAACTCGAACAGCTGGCGGCCAGATTCAACAGGAAGGCCTCCATGCGCGAGACCTGGCTCAGCGAAAACCAAAGGTTGGTCTCTCAGGACAATTTCGGTCACGATTTGGCTGCCGTCGAGGCCGCTGCCAAGAAGCACGAGGCCATCGAAACGGACATCTTCGCTTACGAGGAGCGCGTCCAGGCAGTGGTTGCAGTCGCCTCGGAACTGTCCGCGGAGAACTACCACGACATGGAGCGCATCGGTCAGAGGAAGGACAACGTGCTCAGGTTGTGGAACTATCTATTGGAATTGCTGAGGGCCAGGAGGATGCGCTTGGAGTTGAGCCTCCAGTTGCAGCAAACCTTCCAGGAGATGCTGCACATCCTCGACTCCATGGACGAATTGAAGGCTCGTCTGCTCACCGACGACTACGGAAAGCATTTGATGGGAGTGGAAGACTTACTGCAAAAGCACAATCTGCTCGAAGCGGACATCAACATCTTGGGCGAGCGCGTCAAGGGCGTAGCCAGTCAATCTCAGCGCTTCCTCGACCTAGAGACCAACGAAGGTTACAAACCGTGCGAACCTAGCCTTGTGATCGATCGTGTCCAACAGCTGGAAGATGCCTACGGTGGACTCGTGCGTCTCGCTTTGGAGAGAAGAGCTCGTTTGGAAGAGTCCAAGACCTTGTGGCAGTTCTACTGGGATATGGCTGATGAGGACAACTGGATCAAGGAGAAGAGGGAAATCGTTTCGACCGCTGACATTGGTCACGATCTCACTACTGTTCATCTCCTACTCGTCAAGCACAAGGCGCTGGAGAACGAGATCTTAGCGCACGAGCCCCAATACAAGGCAGTTCTTACTGTTGGAGAGGAATTGATAGAACGCAATCACTTCGGAAGGGACCGCGTTCAACAACAATTGACCGATACCAAGCATTCCTGGAATCAGCTTCAAGACGCTACAGCGAACCGCAGGAAATGCCTCGAGGAGGCGGTAGACTTCCACCAATTGTTCGCCGATGCCGACGACATCGACATCTGGATGTTGGATACACTTCGTTTGGTGTCCAGCGAGGACGTGGGTAGAGATGAGGCCAACGCTCAGTCCCTGCTCAAGAAACACAAGGACGTTACCGAGGAGCTCAAGAATTACTCGTCGGTCATCAACGCGCTCCATCAACAAGCGCAGCAATTGGGATCAGAGTTATCGAACTCACCCGAAGTACAACAGAGATTGGAGTCGATCGATAACCGTTACAAGGAACTGATCGAATTGGCGAAATTGCGTAAACAACGTCTGTTGGATGCTCTTTCCCTCTACAAGCTCCTCTCGGAGAGCGACGGAGTCGAGCAATGGATCAGCGAGAAGGACAGGATGCTCCAGACGATGGTCCCAGCCAGGGACATCGAAGACGTGGAGATCATGAAGCATCGTTACGATGGTTTCGAGAAGGAGATGAATGCGAACGCCTCGAGGGTGGCCGTCGTCAACCAGTTGGCTCGCCAGCTGTTGCACGTCGAGCATCCGGACAGCGAACAGATCACTCAACGCCAGAACCAACTCAATCAGAAGTGGGCAGAACTCTGTGAAAAGGCCGAGAACAAGAAGGAGGAACTGAACCAGGCCCATGGCTTGCAGACATTCCACATCGAGTGTCGCGAGACGGTCACGTGGATCGAAGACAAGAAGAGAATTCTTCAGAGCACCGACAGCCTCGAAATGGATCTTACTGGTATCATGACATTGCAGAGGAGACTGTCTGGAATGGAACGCGACTTGGCCGCCATCCAGGCCAAACTAACTTCTTTACAGAAGGAAGCCGACGACATGGAGAAGGATCATCCAGAGGAGGCAGCCGTCATTCGCGAAAGGATCGTACAAATTCAAGTGAGCATACTAAAACAGCACAACTAACCAGTTGTTATATTGTTCATATATTTATATTCTCCTCTTTTTCATAGGTGATCTGGGAACAATTGACGCAAATGCTGAAAGAACGCGACGCCAAACTGGAAGAAGCCGGTGACCTTCACAGGTTCTTGCGCGATTTGGATCACTTCCAGGCATGGTTGTCCCGCACCCAAACCGACGTGGCCTCCGAAGACACTCCGGCCTCGCTTGCTGAAGCCGAGAAACTGTTGTCGCAACACCAGAGCATCCGCGAGGAGATCGACAACTACACCGATGATTACACAAAGATGATGGAGTATGGCGAAAGGATCACCGCTGAACCGGGAACCCAGGATGATCCTCAGTACATGTTCTTGAGGGAGCGTTTGAAGGCACTCAAGGACGGATGGGAAGAACTCACACAGATGTGGGAGAACAGGCAACAACTGCTCTCGCAATCGCTGAGCCTTCAACTGTTGAATCGCGATGCCAAGCAGGCTGAGGTCATCCTCACCCAACAGGAACACGCTCTCAACAAGGACGAAGTACCGGCCAATCTGGAACAGGCCGAGAACTTGCTGAAACGTCACGAAGCCTTCCTGACGACGATGGAAGCCAACGACGACAAGATCAACGGCGTCGTCCAATTCTCCAGAAGGTTGTGCGAGGAGAACCACTTTGCCGCTGACAGGATAGGCAAGAGGGCGGATGGTATCGACGAGCGCCGTCAGAATAACAAGGAACGCGCCATGGCCTTAATGGAGAAGCTCAAGGATCAACTGGACTTGCAGCAATACTTGCGCGACTGCGAGGAACTCAACGAATGGATCCAGGAGAAGCACATCACCGCTCAAGATGAGACATACAGATCCGCAAAGACCGTCCACTCGAAATGGACTCGCCATCAAGCGTTCGAAGCAGAAATCGCCGCCAACAAGGAGCGTTTGAACAATCTGCAAAAGGCCGGCCAAGAATTGGCCAAGGATAAACCAGAGTACGCCAGTGAAATCCAACCAAAGATACACGAGTTGGGTGACCAATTCCAGGTCTTGGAGACGACAACGCACGATAAGGGCGAGCGTCTGTTCGATGCCAACCGCGAAGTACTCATCCACCAGACCTGCGATGATATCGACTCCTGGATGAACGAGCTCGAGAAGCAGATCGAATCCGATGATACCGGAAACGATCTCGCATCGGTGAACATCCTCATGCAGAAGCAGCAGATGATCGAGACTCAAATGACCGTCAAGGCTAAGCAGGTGGGTGAGTTGGAGACCCAAGCCAAGCATTTGGAGAAGACGGTACCCGATGAAAAATTGGAGAGCATCAAATCGAAAAAGACTCACGTCGAGATGAGGTTCGAGCTATTGAAACAACCGCTCGTGGAGAGGCAACGCGCCCTGGAGAAGAAGAAAGAAGCATTCCAGTTCAGGCGCGACGTCGAGGATGAACTCTTGTGGAGTAGCGAGAAGATGCCGCAAGCGTTGTCCGACGAATACGGAACCAGTCTGTTCCACGTGAACATGCTCATCAAGAAGAACCAGAGTTTGCGCACGGAGATCGACAACCACGAGCCGAGGATCCACACCGTCTGCAACAATGGACAGAAACTTGTTGACGAGGGTCACGAGAGCGCCGACGAATTCAGCAAGTTGATCACCGAACTGCTGACAGCTTGGCAGCAGTTGAAGGACGCCCTGGAGAAGAGGCGCGAAAACTTGGTTCGCAACGAACGTGCCCAACAGTACCTCTTCGATGCAAGCGAAGCAGAGGCGTGGATGAGCGAACAGGAACTGTACATGATGGTTGAAGACAGAGGCAAGGATGAAACATCCGCCAGGAATCTGATGAAGAAACACGAAGGTCTTGAGGTCGCCGTCGAACAATACGCAGACACGATAAGGGCTCTGGGAGAGACGGTGAGGACTTTGGCAGCGGAAGGACATCCATTGGCCGAGCAGGTGGCAGTGAAACAATCGCAATTGGATAAATTGTATGCCGGACTCAAGGACTTGGCTGGTGAACGCAGGGCCAAGTTGGATGAAGCGTTGCAACTCTTCCTGTTGAACAGAGATGTCGGTGATTTGGAGCAATGGATCGCCGACAGAGAAGTGGTGGCTTCCTCTCACGAACTTGGACAGGACTACGACCACGTCACGCTCCTGTGGGAGAGGTTCAAGGAGTTCGCGAAGGACACCGAATCCGTTGGCAGGGAAAGAGTTGCGACAGCAAACGACGTCGCTGATCACCTAATCGCAACCGGCCACTCTGATTCCGCCACCGTTGCCGAATGGAAGGATGGTTTGAACGAGGCCTGGCAAGATTTGCTCGAGCTCATCGAAACACGTACCCAGATGTTGGCTGCTAGCAGAGAATTGCACAAGTTCTTCCACGACTGCAAGGATGTGTTAGGTCGCATCGTGGAGAAACATGTGGCGATGAGCGACGAGCTCGGCAGGGACGCCGGATCCGTGTCGGCACTCGTTAGGAAACACCAGAACTTCATGCAGGATCTGCAAACACTTCAGAGCCAAGTGCAACAGATTCAGGAAGAGAGCAGGAAGTTGCAGTCCGCGTACGCCGGAGATCGTGCCAGGGAAATCACGAACCGCGAGGCGGAGGTGGTCAGTGCCTGGATGAACCTTCAAGGCGCCTGCGAACAGCGAAAACTCAAGTTGGGAGACACCGGCGATCTTTTCAGGTTCTTCAACTTGGTCCGCACACTCATGCAATGGATGGACGATGTCGTAAGTGATTTTCAAATAATTCTGAAAATAAACGTAATATTAATATTAATAATAATAATCGTCTTCATAATCTCAGGTACGCCAAATGAACACCGGCGAGAAACCGAGGGATGTTAGCGGCGTGGAAACGCTGATGACAAACCACCAGAGTCTCAAGGCGGAAGTGGACGCTCGCGAAGACAACTTCACGGGATGCGTCTCGTTGGGCAAGGAATTGCTCTCGAGGGGTCACTACGCTAGCACGGAAATCAAAGAAAAATTGCTTGCCCTTAGCAATCAGAGAAACAGTCTGTTGCACAGATGGGAAGAGAGGTAATAATATTGATAACATCAAGTTCAATAATTATTAATACATCTGTTTTAAATCTTATCCTCGCAGATGGGAGAACTTGCAATTGATCTTGGAAGTGTACCAGTTCGCTCGCGATGCCGCCGTCGCTGAGGCCTGGCTCATCGCCCAAGAACCTTACCTGATGAGCACCGAATTGGGTCACACCATCGACGATGTAGAGAACCTGATCAAGAAACACGAAGCCTTCGAGAAGTCCGCCGCGGCACAGGAGGAGCGATTCGGCGCACTCGAAAAACTAACGACCGTAAGCTTTCAATATTTACAAATTGCTTTTGTTGTTTGTGTTACATAATTCTTGTAACTCTGTGTGGCTTGTTTTATTTGTAACTAATAGTTGTTTCGTGTCTTGTGACTACTTCATGTTCTGTGTTTTTGTAGTTAGAGCAGATTTCTTCCTCCAAAGGTGTTGGTAGATTAGTTTGGAAAAATTCTTCATCCCCGGTGCATGAATATGTTAACGATTGCAATGTAGACATCACACATATACCGTTCCCCTCACAACCACAAACGTTACCATCAATCAAAACAAGCAAAATCCCTATTCACAAAGTAGTGAAATCCATCATCCTAGATGTGGATCGCTTCTATAAGCCGCACGTCTCCTACCGTCGTATTTTCAACATGAAAGGTTGCAAGAAGGTAATCCCACTGAAGCACGCCAAGAAGCAGGCCAGTTTCCTCTATCCCAAGCAGAAGAACATCCCCAAATTGCGTTTGAAGAGCGACACAGACGCGAACATTAACAGTTCCAATTCCTCTAGGACGAGTAAATCTTTCCGTCGTAGCGTTTCGTGCATGGGCCACAACGACTACGAAAACTTGAAGCACTCTGCAGATTTGCGTACGATTTGCTCGAATTTCATAATCGTGGAAAAATGGGCGTGCACTGTAGAAATGGGCGGTGATAGTTTGAACCTCTTCGACTGCCTCATGTTTGATAATTCCTTCCTATCAAAATCCAACAACTTATCCATTAATCGCATGCACAATTACGGTCAGGTGAGGATTCAAGAAAAAGAATGCTTATCGCCGCTCTATATAAAAAATGTTGTATTTCGCTTACGAATTGTTTCGTGCTTATTCGTTATTCCACCACAATTTTAAATCTCGTACGATTCTACTAATATCGCTCTGATTTTCCCCACAGTTCGAATTGAAAGAAATGAAACGCCGCCGCGAAGAGGCAGAGGCCGAGGAATTGGCCAAACGTGAAGCCGAGGAGGAGGAGAAGAGGAAGGCGTTGGAGGCGGCGCAAGCTGCGGCCTCCCCAGAGGACAGACCCGACGCATCCACACCAGTTGAGGAAAGGCCAGGTAAGCCAAGAAAAAGATTGAAGCTGAAGAGGAAACTCTAGCAGTAAATTGACTATTTAATAATAATAATTATAATAATAATAATAACGAGTCGAAAAGACACAAGGAGAAAATGTTTCACAACGATTGTTCTTGCTTTTTACAAGCTGCTGTAACTACACAAAGGGTTTCGCTGAAAACCGAACCCTCCGCTGGTGAAGGTAAACAAACATTGAAAAAAAAAAGAAACGATCCTGCAAATGCGTCGATCTTATATAGATAGATCCACGTCTTTTGCAAATCCTTCTTTTCGTTTATTTATAATTTAATCGCAATATTTATGGTGATGGCTCTACTTCTCGCACACAACATTCCATTATTAATGCACCATTAATAATTTGTTTCTTTTAATTAAAAAAAAACAAACTTCCTTTCTAGCACATCTCTGATCTGCCTACACATACTAATAACTATGTGTACATATATTTCTTCCAGAATGTTCATGTTTCTCTGTATAATTATAATATAAAAATAATGCTTCTCTTATAGCGCGCACACATTTTCCATCGCCACAGCAAAAATTGCACAAGTATTTCATAAAACGTGTTATTTTGTTTACCTGTTATTCCATTTATCAAAAAAAACATTTGTTTGTAACAATTAGTTTACTGGTAAGTTATTTTCGTTGTTGTTTTTATTTTTTTGGCTATCGTAGATTTGGGAAATGTGTTTCGTTCCTGTCTATACTAGTACTTATTTTTTTTTGTTTGTTGTAACGGCACGTTTTGCATGAATAAAACTAACTACTACCCAACAATTCTTATGATAATTCACGATGAATCTCTTGCATATATCTCAATTGAGTATAGATATTTATAGTGAATTATTGGAGCTTTTGTTTCTGCGACTAATTCTTCTTATGTTCGTTGTTGTTCTTATTTACTTATCGGTTTAATTGATTGATTATCGGCGTGAAAGTGAAGAAACGTTTAAGAATTGAGTTGATTTATTGCATGATATTTGTTTGATTTGCTGCATGTGCATGCAGGTTTAGTACAAACTGGGCGGTCTCCGGCAACAACAACTACCACAACACCACAGACACAACAGACATCATCTACTACAACTACACCGAGTAGGCCGACGCAAAAGGCCCAAACTAGTGAGTAACTCGCAGCTGCAGCGAGATATTGAAAACAGTATATATTTTTAGTAGTCGTATAAGTGTGTGTTGTTGCATGATCCGTATTTTTTTTGTTTGTGTGTACCGTTGTTATTTTCGTTTTGTTTGTTTTGTTGTTGTTTTTTTTTTGCGCTTGACGTATTTTTTTCTGTTAATGTTTCTGTCTAAAGTGTCTCGCTCGACCGGGGTCGAAAAAGAACGTAGGAAGGACAGGTCACGTAGTAAGTCCCCGTTCCGTAGCTTCCGCTGGAAGAAGAGCCCCAAGGCTCATTTGGGTCACCATAGCGACGATGATGAATCACAATCAGGTAGAAAACTCACAAGAAAAGAAAACTTAATGTTCCCATTTAGAATATATTAGATGATGATGATGATGAAAGAGAGAGAAAGAAAAAAAAATGTTGTAGTGTATACCTTGCTAGAGCCATCGCTTGTATGTAAATCACATGTATTCATTTGTTCCGTTCCGTTTATGCGCGTTTGTTTTGCTGCTGCAAGAAGAGGTGGATGGATCTATTAATTTTGAATGTGTGTATGTGCGCAATGTAGAACGCAGTCCTTCGAGTGAGGAGATCACCGCTGAGGGTAACCTGGTGAGGAAGCACCAATGGGAGAGCACGACCGTCAAGGCAACCAACCGCTCCTGGGACAAGGTGTACTCCGTCCTCAAGGGCACCAACATGCATTTCTACAAGGATTCCAAGACAGCCAAGAGCACGCCCGATCAGACGTTCAAGGGAGAAGGACCGCTCTCGATGAGAGGCGCCGAAGCAGCCGTCGCTTCCGACTACAAGAAGAAGAAGCACGTCTTCAGACTGCGGTAAAATTCAACACCATCCTCCATCTTGAACCATCTTCAACTCTCTCCGTCTTTGCAGATTGGACAGCGGCGCGGAATTCCTGTTCCAAGGACACGACGACGCCGAGATGAACCAATGGATCGCCCGCATCCAGGCCGTTCAGGACAGCGACTTGGCCGGTCCATCACGCAGCCAAACGTTGCCAGCCTCCGCCCAGAAGGAGGACCCGAAGAGACGCAGCTTCTTCACACTTAAGAAGAAGTAAGTACAAACCTTAACAGTTATCATTTAAATCCAAAAATTTAATAATTTTCTTTTTCTTGCAGTTAAATTTGTTATTTAAAGAAAGAAAGAAAAAAAAACACGTAATGTAATTTAAATGAGAGATGGATAAAGCTTCTATAATATAATAAATTAAAGAGAAAAAAATATTAAATAATAAATACGAGAGATAAACAAATTAAGAATATTCTAATAATAATCGCCCTTTTTCGGATCGGAGCAGAACTTGAAGAATGTTTGATTAAGAGAAGAGGATAGTGATTGATGATGATGGTGACGATGAGAAGACGACGAAGACGTTGGAGGGCATTAATATTGAAATAACATAATATATTGATGAAGAGAAATGGAAAAAAAAGTATATGAATTAAGAAAGAGGAAGAAAAAGTTAAGGAAGTAAAGGAAAAAAGGAGAAAAAAAAGTATAATATAATATATTCACGTTCTATTTTATATATTATTTTTTAGCATATTTAATATATATTTTTATGTAGCTGCCGCACTACAGTAGTGGATGTATAGTTTTTATCAAGAGAATAATATTAACTATATACATATATTAAATATTATAAACGATGTGATTGACGCTAATTATTATTATTATTATTACTGTAATGATTATGATTATTATTATATATAAACAAAAAAAAAGAGGAAAGAAACCGAGGAAAGGAGACGAGAAGAAGAAAACAAGGAAGCGGTGGAAATTGTGTTCGCAATAATGTTTTATTTTATTAATATTATTTTTTATTTTATTTTTTTTTTGTCGTGTTTATGTAATAATATTTTCTATTTCCTTACATATATATTATATATGAATGTGTTTTTCTTTTCTGTTTTGTGTATAAGAAAAAAAAAGAAGGAATATCGAAGAAAACAAAACAAAAAAAAAAATCAAAAACAACACACAAACTGGAGATGAGAAGAAAGCTTCGCCCGCTTTTTTTTTGCTATGCTGCCAATACATAACATTTACTATTATTATTACTACATTATTATTATTGTTGTTGCTCTACTTACTCTACTACCACTACTGTCGAAACACGATACAAGAACAAAAATACACTCCCTAGTCCCGCCTTCCCAATGAATGAACTTTAAATCCAGCTCCAGAAACCCCTCTTTTTTTTTCCCTCTGCATTACGAATACAAGAGGAAAACGTGAAGAAAGCAAAACTTTCTTCATTTCTCTCTTGATTGTTTCGCTAATTTTATTATGCAGATTTTTACTTACGGCTATGATTCTTAGTGTGCTTTTATCCCTTCAAGAGAAAGCAGACAAAAGAGAGAGATCTATAAATATATATATATACATATATTAAGATATTTCAAATTAATAAACAATAACGTTTGTTTTTATTCATTACTTTGTTTCTTTTCCAAACCAAAGTAGATGATTTTTTTTTGTAGTGAAGATATTTGCAGAATGCACAGATGAAATAACTGCAGGTAAAGTATATGTAGCTTATATACGTGACGATGAACCTATTTTTGTTGCTAGATTAAAACGATAATAAAGATTCTGTAAACCTGGATTATAACAAATATAATGAAACGTAAATAACACAGTTTTGTATGGTGTACTGCAGGGAATTATACTTGGACCGATTCAATATCTCATTTACAAATAATATATCTTATCAACGTTAAAATAATTCCTTCTTATGAAGATGACCACTTTCATTTAATCTTGTGATAATCTAGAAGTGAAATTGCAAATGTAACAAACATACATACAGATCATCATGACTTTATGAGGCTCTAGGCGCAAACTGATTTGGAGGCCCCTTAATTTAAGAGGAACTATCTTACGCAATCATGAAGTGCAACAAAAGTTACACAAATTTTGGTGTAATTAAGAAAACTCGTCGGATCTCATGGAAACAGCGATTTTAAGAAAATCCAATTTCTGCAGCTCTTAGCAGGCGACTCGGCGATAGCACAAAGATGCCAGTAGGCTCGTTGGAAAAGGGAGACATTCAACTTTCATACGCGTGGTCGATGATGTAATTATCTTAAGGGGTTTTCGAGAAATTCACGAAAAACTGAAGAAAAAACGCAAAAATCGTCTATTCTCTGTTACGTAACTTTTGTTTCATAAAAAGTTGCGTAAGGATGGCGCCCATCTTACGTAATCATGAAATTAAAAAAAGTTACGACATTAAGAAAAAACGTGAAAACTCGTCGGATCTTAATGAAACAGCGATTTTAAGAAAATCCTATTCACTTTTTTCCAATTTCTGCAGCTCATAACAGGCGACTTCGCGACAACACGAAGATGCCAATAGGCTCGTTGGAAAAGTAAGGTATTCAGCTTTCAATTGACTGGTGAATCATGTAATTATCTTAAAGAGTTTGTCGAAAAAAATTACGAATATCTAAAAAAAAAACGGGAAAAACGTCGTTTTCCTGTTACGTTTTGTTTCATACAAAGTTGCGTAAGGATGGCGCAAATAATTTTTAAAAAAAATAGTATATCCGAAATTGTATTGCTGATAATTAATCTTGTTTAACATGATGATTTCATAAGAAGCAAAAAAGTGATTTTGGATATACTAGAATCATGCAATAACAAAGATATTTTGATATCAATTTTAAATGATGATTTGTTTTTATAAAATCAACAAAAGTAACGTCACTGTCACTCCAGATATCAAAAGATTAAATGAAAAAATGTACACTTCCACGAAAATATTTGTTTGTTTTCGCTTCATTGAATTGCCCAAATATTGACTTTCTACATTTGTCACTTACCGCCATAAAGATTATTATATTTTTTTTACGAGAATAGCAACAAAAATTTATAAATGTCATCATTAAATGTTTTGTTTTTTTTTTAAATTAACGATATAAACAAAAATAAGTCTACTTAAATGTACGCAAACACACTTTACAATAAAATAACGTTGCCATGGATATGTTTTAATGTTTAATTATCGCTAAGCGATTTAAAATTTTATTTTAAATATAATTAAAATAAAACCGACTAAATTTGAGGATAAGCAACAAAAAATGGAAATTCTCTTTTCCTGGTTAAATTAATTACCATGAAGACATTTCGCATTGTTTTTAATTGTTACGTGATTAAGTGCAATACACAATGGATACGATTGTTTATAATTATACTCGACGATAATCACGAACATTTCACATTATATTCTTTTGTTTTCATTTCAATGAGAGCACGCTCTGACCCCAGAATTCCATTTGTCCTTTGTAATCAGATTCAGTTCAGCAAAAAAAAAACAAAATAACGGGAACCTTCGAAGGTCAAAAACAGAATCTTTAAATAGCTTGGCGGCCCTATACAAATCATTTTGGACTTTTTTTAAAGATGAAAATCCAAGCTTTTCAACGCGCCCTTTTACAGCATCCTAGCCCTTCGGAATCCTGCGCAATCGATGTTCCAAGTTTGAAGTTTAAAATGTCAAAAACAAAATCATTGACATTCTATAGAAAAAATGTTAAAAACAAAATCACTAAATTGCTCATTTTAAAGATTGTTAGTAGTGGATTGAATAATGATAAATAGAAAACTTTCCATTAAATTCAAACCCAATCTATGCATTTAACAAGACGTTAAACAAAAACAATTCAAATAATAACAGTACATCGTTGAATATATATTCTAAAATTAAATTTTAATGAATGAATGCAAACACAAAAAAACTTTAGTGCAATTAGTGTTTAATTTTAACATTTGCCAAACATGCGATGCACTTTGGGCGCGGGTCCAAAAAGGTAGTGCACGTACGTTCGTAATTCCGTATTCCGCAAAAGTCGTATAAAATATAAATAAAGTTATGATCATGGCGGAATAAATATTTGTTTTTGAAAAAAAAGAAAACAAGGGAAAGCGAAACAAATATTTTCGTGACAATTGTGTTTGTACACTCGTCGCAGCCAATAAAATGCGCAGCGACCTAATTTCTACGTTAATTGATGACCGCAAATTGAATACAATTCACGTCAAAAACATTTTATGGATTCACCATATATCTAAATCCTAATACAATATATCGTAATTAGCTTGTTTTATAACTTGTGTTGCAGTTAATGGAACATTTGAATATATTGCTATAACAGAAGCCAAGTTTCGTGAATCCTAAATTGGACGGTTCCCTGGGGAGAAACCATACGAAAGCGAAACACGTCCTCCTCCGACGCATTGTGACCTCTCTCTCTCTGTGATATCTATATTATTATTGTCTTGGCATTGTCGCAAATATTTGTAAATAAAGATGAACAAAAGAAGTAAAAACAAGAAAAAGAAGGTCGGCGGGAAATACGAATTATCATCGAGCGATCCAAACCCATCACTAATTGTTTGTTCCCCATTGTTACGCACACCTGATAATAATTTAAAGTACGTACTTGTGTTCAATTTGTTATCAAAATCACGCGGGCAGATGCTTCCCTATTATAATGTTGTTTTTTTTTTGTATATATAGATATATATATTCGATGGTCGCAATGTGCGGATTGTCGCGTAGCGATCTAGTTATTGATTTGTTTGCGACTCGTTCAGTGTACTTTTCTTGGTGACTTACAGCTGGATAGTCGGACGGGAGGTCGTAGACTTTTAAACGGCACTTAAAAAATAAATAACTTAAAAATAGCGACGGTGCGCGCATATAAATAAAAAAAAGGAAACATTTTGAGAAGCAGAAATATATCAGTTCGACTGCAGCAGAGATGTCACGACTGGTAAAGAACTCGGTGCGTCTGTACTCGTCCTGCCTGCCGTTCCAGGTGGAGAGAGCCGGATTCTACGAGAAGGATGAGATCCTCGACCTGGTGCGAAAGAACTTAATGCGCGACGAACCGTTGATAAAATCGTTGAAAGTGGACGGAAGATCTCTGGAAGGGTTCTGCTCGAGGTTGCTTTGCGATGGGACCGTGCTGAAAGTTGAGGATCACGGGAGGATCGTAGCCGTGGGGATGTGTTCCACCAGGAGGCGCGGTGTAAGCAGTGCATTGAGCGAGGAGAGTAAGCGGGATTCGGAATTCGGGAAGATACTGCGATTACTCGCCAAGTTGGAGGTGAAGGCGGACGTGTTCGGAAAATACCCCGAGCTGGACACCTATCAGCACGGCGAGTTGGTTGCCGTCGACACGGAATACAGGGAAAGAGGTCTCTTCAAACTGATCGCGCTCAAGTTCGAGTGAGTATAAATTAAATGTATTTGTTACGCTATAACTTAATATAAATGTTTTATGTGTGTTTTTTTTTCGATAACAACAGGCAGATCGGAATCGATGACGGTTCCAAGCTGATCACCTCGGTGACCACGGGGAAGTACTCGAAGATGGGTTGTCTGCGGGTCGGTTGGCGCGAGGCCTCCACGATCCGCTACTCCGATTACACGGAAGACGGGAAGGTCGTCTTCGAGCCGGAATCCCCGCACACCGAGGCCTCCTGCATGATCAAGGTGCTTGCTTAAGCTTAAGACTCTACCTTCGACCGCTTCTCCGGCACGAAGTGCTGGTAGTAGCTGCGCGTGAAGTCCACCATCAGGTCCATCTGGCATTCGGGCACGTCGTCCACCTGCACCCCCGGATTCCCTGAGTACCTCGTGAAGGACGGCACCACCGTCTCGGGCGCCAGCACAGTGTTATCCTCGATGACGCAGCAATCCTTCAGCTGGCAACGTCGACCCTTCGACAAGCGAATAATTACTAATCCTGTGATCAGTGATTTAACATTCTACAAAGACTTGAAACGACTATATTTATAACTGTATTAACACCTTTGAGTCGCTTAAACTAATTGAAGTAGTCTGAAATATTTTTTTAAAGAAAATTTTAAATAAAAAGAAAAATTTTATACAATAGATAAAAAATTAAATATCTTTGATTGAAGATTTTCATGAAGCAATAAATAATCATTTATTTATACTTACAATTACACAATTCTTTCCAATATAAACGTAAGAGCCAACCATGGCTGCATTGACTATGGACTTCTCCCCGATGTAAACATGATCACCAATGTTTAAAGGAAAAAAGGCAACACTGCAAATAAAAAAAAAGCAATATTGTAAAAACAAAATTAAGAAATATCTAAAAAAAATCCTCACCCCTTGCTGAATTTCTTGTGGGCCGGTCGGATAACAACATCCTTACTTATAATGCAATACCTGCCAGTGCGAACATTGCCCAAATCACCTCTGATTATCGAATCCTGCTGCACGATCACCTTACCCTGAAGCACGATGTTCTGAGAACCGCACAGGATTGTTTGTCTGCTGACTTTGTTGCCCAGCGACTGAAAACAAAAACAATAATTTTAACCTAGGGTTGCGTTATTTTTTCTACGTATTAATTTCTACTTACCGTCTCCACGTACGAGCTCTTGTTGTATTCAATATCGCGCATTTCCATCGTAATTAAGGATTTATTAAAAGGGTTTTTTGATCACACGATAATCGAGGTAAGGATCAACACGATCCTTGTTTTGATGATGAAGACAAAATCCAACTGGATTCGACCAATCCCAGTTCAACAAACTGACGTTTAATGGATATGCAACACTATGTGCATCCAATCACGGAAGTTAGTGTGCTAAATGTTTCAAAGTTCAGATTAATTCAAATTCAAATATAGTTAGGACGCAATGAAACAATTTAATTAATTGAAGAAAATACATATTTATTGCCACTAATCTAGTGGTTTTATAGATTGTAACAACTAATTTTTAAAGCTATCAGCTATGTTTCAAAACATTGTTTGAAAGTTTAAGTGAAATCTAACTTAAAACATTGAAATAACATCTGTTTTTTATCATTAATTGGTGGAAATTAAGACTATAAGTTTGTAAATTCGCTACTAAGTACTAATTATTGCTTTGTGAGTGCTGAAATAAGAGTGCTGAGGGTGTTCTGACGGGGATGAGCTTGGTATCACCGTAGACGGATTTGACGACCCAATAGTCTCTTCCGTTGATGTTCTTCTTGATGCCGTTGGGGCTGTTTGCGAAGGGCGGATGGAACAACGCATGGTAAGGTGGAGGCGGCGGGTGCACGGCTCCATCCATCTCGTGCCACAATTTACCATTCACGTGGTTGTTATCTTCGAAGTTGGCAAACTCGAAGCCGGCCTTCCGGTTCCGTTTCGGTTTATTGTTGTTGTTATTGTTGTTGCTCTCTGTGAAGAGGTTCTGCAGCTTCGGTGTGCGCACCTTCAACTCGTTGGATTTGAAGTGAGCCACCGCCAATTCGATGAGGAAAACGGTCAGAGAAACAATGAAACCAGCGCCGACTATGACGTAGGTCATGAGGAGATCGGCGTTTCGCAGTTGTCTCTCATTCGAGCCGAGATCTAGAGGGCAGATCGCCGTGTTCGGCAGATCTTCGCGCAGTTTATACTTGATGATACCCGATTCAACCAAATGTTGAATACTGAAATTTAAAGCACAATCAATTGATTGATAATCAGAAAGTAAATTACGTACAGCTCGTTGAAGAGTTCGTAATATTTAAAATCCTTCTTGAAAGCGAAAGCTCGTGAAATCCTCAAGACGTCCCATTTCGTGATTACGAACGTGCATCTGTCGTTCTCTGCTATAGTTGGATCGGTGCGGTGCATGTAATCGTCGTACATCAAGTACTCAACGATCGGTTTCTCTCCGATGTACATGTAATTCCTCTTCAGAACCCAATTGGCCAGCATCTCTTCTCCAGATTCATCGGAGTATTCGCTTTTAGATCCGAGAAAAACGTTGCGAAACTCGTCGATCTGTGAAGAGAGGAAACGATTTTAGTACTCGATTGTGGTAAGAATGAAGCGAAGAAATAAACCTGCTTGATTGATTCCTCGATGGCGCTGCCTTTATGCGTGACCCAGGAATACTTCTTCGCTCCGATATCTTCAACTTTGTTCACTGGTAAAGTGAACTTGGATAAAGTCAGAAAGGCGGTAAGGTTGGCGGTGTAGAACGCCGTTAATATAGTGATGAATATCCACCAGGTTGCAAATAACAATCTCGAAGAATCTAAATTATTGAAGAATAAAGAGTTAAGGAAATTTGAAGTTGAAAAATTGTATTTTCTTACCAGTAATCGGTGAGAGTGTGCTACCCTGTTTCAGAAGAGCGCCGTACACGAACCAGACGCACGATGGTAGCGGATAGATCGGCGCTTTGTCCTCTTTGCACAGACGCGTTTGCAAAACAATGAGGAAATAGATAATAGGTCCAACGACAAGTAACGAGACGAGAATCAGAATCCACACGTCAAGGGTGAAAGGTGCCCAAAGACCTGAACCAGTCGCGGATTCCGGCGGTCTCTTCATCAGCACAACCCATTCGCCTTCATCCAATGCCCTCGAATAGTCGATGAAGTCCCAAAAAGCAGGCATCACCGGTAGAAAAGCAGCCGCAATATCAGCTTCCTACAAATACATTTAATTTACCCGCCGAAAACACAATTTTCATCATGAACAATAAGCGTTTATAACAATAATAATCATAATTTATGTCATATTTGACAGCTGTCAATTAAATAGTGTCAGTACAAATCATTAAATTGAATTTGTAAGGTATATAAAGATAACTAAATATTGAATAAACCAGGCGTATCCACAATTAATCGTACTTAAAACTTATTTTTATAATTATTTAATTAATATTTCTACATTTAATTCAATTACAAATCAATTAGTCGATCAATTTATCTGACACCTGTCAGTTAAACCGTAGCCACTTCGATAATTTTTCAGATTTAATATACGAGAAGTCTAATGAAAAACAAAAGAAGATATAAGTAATATATATATAATTATTTAACGACTGCATCCATAATTTAATATAAATATAATGAAATGAATTGTAAATGAAAACGCTTATATATTGTTTTTCTTTATCTAAACACAATGTAAATTTATCTGACACCTGTCAGTTTAGCCGTAGCCGCCTTGCTCGTTAAATTTATTATATATGAAGCATCTAATGAATAAACAAAAGAAAATACTTTTCATAGAATATTTACCCGGCGCATCCACAATTAATCATATAAATAAAAGTCGTTTCTTTATAATTATAAAATGTTTCTATAATTAAAGAAATGAATCGAAAATTTGTTATTGCTTTATCTAAAAACAATCTAAATTTATCTGACACCTATCATTTAATATACGAGAAGTCTAATGAAAAACAAAAGAAGATATAAGTAATATATATATATATAATAATTTATATATTTTTTTCTTTATCTAAACACAATGTAAATTTATCTGACATCTGTCAGTTTAGCGGTAGCCGCCTTGTCCGTTAAATTTATTATATATGAAGCATCTAATGAATAAACAAAATAAAATATTTTTTCAAATAATATTTACCCGGCGCATCCACAATTTATCATATAAATAAAAGTCATTTCTTTACGATTATAAAATGTTTCTATAATTAATGAAATGAATCGAAAAACAATGCATATTTATCTGACACCTGTCAGTTAAACCGTAGCCACCTTGCTCGTTAAATGTGAGGCGTCTAATGTAAAACAAAAGAATATTTATATAGAAAAAGCTGGAACTAACTAGACTGTAAAAGTAGAATCGAAAAACAAAACAAAAAAGAAGCAATAAATAGTTGATTGGATTCAGTTGTTTTATGGCAACGATTACCGTCGCATTATTTCCAGCGTGAAAATTACACTAAATCCTTGCCCCGCGCGTCCCTAACAATACGATTGTCGTTATGGGTATTTTTATTATATATATATCATATATCATATTTTTTTTATCATCACGGTATTTCCACTTTGAGGCTCTCGACTAATGTTCCTCGACGTTATTATACGGCCATCAATGAATTATAAATGAGGAGGCTTTGAGGCCACCGATTCCGAACGTATAAATACCAAAATTATAAAAAAAAATTAAAAAAACTAAACCAAAGGTGACAAAATTCGTAACGCGAGCGATAAACACGACTCACGTTGTGCTGGAACAATTATGCACGAAAAACAAATCAATTTTTCAACGAAAATATTCTCATTTCCCCAACGAATGTTAATGTATTTTTTTTTTCCTTCTTGTTGTTATTGTGTTACATAAATTCACGTATAATTATTTATAGGACACATACAAGCAAAGACACTCTAAAAAGGACAATAACAATAATAGAAAAAAACCTTAACGCCAAGCAGACCTGAATTATTTATGTAATATTTGTTTGAGTTAATTGCTGTTGTTGCCGAAGCCGTGGATTGCTTTGTGTTTGTATTGATGCACACGGTTTCCCGCTTACTTAAACACCAAATTATATAATAATAAATAATTTGAATCTTTGACATATGACATAATTTTGAAATGTGACAGATGTCACTGTCAAAAATCGTTGACTTTTTTATAACAATTATGTTTGTTATATTTATATATTTCTATTACCGCAGCACGCAATTCATTAATTTTGCAAAAAAATACAAACTTAAAAATACATTCCGATATATTTTAAATATTTATTAATTCTATTAAATAAATTGCGTGTTTACACCTATCATTTTTATTATCGTCAGATTGACGTTTACTTTTTTTTAACAAAATCGAAATATAATATTATTTTATTAATATTTTACTAATTTCAATCTCTCAAAATCTATGGGATTCTACTGAAACTAAAGCAAACATATTTAGATCTGTCATTTTCACAATCGTTAGAAATGTCATTAATGTTAAATTACGTGTTTACTTCTATCATTTTTATTTGAAACGTCAAATTGACGTTTACTTTTTATTATTTTTGTGTATGAAAAAAAGTTATTTGTACCGAAGCAAATATGTCCAATAATGTTAATTTGTAATATTTAATATATTTTACTAAGTTTAATCATTTAAAATCTGTTGGATTCTACTGAAATTTAAGCAAACATATTTAGATCTGTCATTTTCACAATCGTTAGAAATGTCATTAATGTTAAATTACGTCAATTTGACGTTTCAAATAGACGTTTACTTTTTATTATTTTTGTGTAAGAAAGAAAGTTATTTGTACCGAAGCAAATATGTCCAATAATATTAATTAGTAATATTTAATATATTTTACTAAGTTTAATCATTCAAAATCTATCGGTTTCTACTGAAATTTTAGATCTAACATTTTCGAAATCCTTGGAAATGTCACAATGACGTTTACAATAAAAATTACCATAGTTACATAATAAAATAATTGTTGTTTTGTACCTGACACCTGTCAGTTAAACCGTAGCCACCTTGATTATTTTTTCAAATTTAATGTATGAGGTGAATCACGTTACGAAATCTGAATTAAGGTGCGTAAATTTACGAAATCTGAAACATTGTTGCTTACCCCATGAATGAGCTGTGAGAATACCCCGTCTCCATCCTGTTCCAAGCTGTTCTGCCTAGGTTTGACCACTTCGTAGGTGAATCCGTACTTGTCCATCAAGATGTCTATGAACTGGAAAGCGGATCCGCGACCCACGAGAGTGTCATTAACGTATTCGGTGTAACTGAGTGGCTTGTTCTATACAAAAAAAAAAACAAAAAAAAAACAACAGCACTCAGAAACAATGTATTTTGCAGGCTTGATCGTTATTGTTGTTTGTAGAATCAATACCTCTGTAGTTGTGATCTTGAAATGTTCGTTCTTCAATTCCGACGCCAACTCTTTGAAGCGATCCTTCCGGGCCTGCGAAATTTCTGCCGAAAATCGAAGACACTAGATTATTAGTTACAAATTGATTTTTGTGCTTAAATAATGCAAAATATTGTGAAATTTTTATGAAATTATACAGGTTTTTTTTTTGCAATTGATATTTTATGTTTTATTTTCTTTGATTTGATTAAGAATTAGATTTTAAAAACAAAACCTTTGATTACATAATTTTAATGAACAAAATTTTAGAAAAAAAAAATCTTTATTGTTTTTGTATATACTAAAAAAAATGAGATTTTTTTTACCATTTGCTTCATCGTCCATATAATCCATATCCATGCAAGTGGCGTTCAAGCATAATCCCACCATAACCAAATCCACCAAACCCATCCTACCACCAAGAGAAGATCAACGGTTTCCTTAAGCTAATCGATTGCGAAGACCTCTTCTTCGCTGAGATTGATCTCGATGCGCGGTCTATGATAGTACTTGCGATATCCCATCATCGGAGATATGACGGTGCATACTGCAAATGACCGCTGTTGGCGATGGTTTCTGGACTGAGCCGAAGACGAGGAGGAGTTCCGAAGTTCACATGCGCTAACCACCTCATTCGCTTGCGTTTGCAACAAAAATACACACACCTACACGTATGTGACATGTGTTTGCCCGTGACCATATAACATCGAACAGAAAGAGAGGTCAGATTCAGTAAGTAAAAAAAAAATGATTGGAATATGGACGTTATATGAACAAAAAATCCATTAAAGGGCGGCTAGATTTTTCAATGACGCACCAGCACCAACAAACAAGACCTGTTATGTAATTGATGATCTAACTTGAACATTTTTCTATTATAGAATCTTGAAAACATAAATTTAATCTCGATGTTCGATTATTCACTTTTGACAGCCTAAAAAATGAAGACTTTGTATTTTTGAGTTGTTCATATATAATTGTTCAAATTTGATAGCTTATTACAAAAAAATGGTGAAAGTCACAGATCTGTCTGTACACTCATTTTAAAGTCTACAATTTTGACTTCAAGTAAAGTATCCAGTGTATTAATTAGCATTAATAGTTATTGAGTAATACTATAAAACGTAAATATATAACGATTCGAAATTATGACAGCTTATTTCAGCAAAACGATTAAAGCTACATATACATGTCTTATAGTAAATTGACTTAGACTTTAATTAGAGAATTCGATATCTAAATTAACTATAGTTGTTATCGATTAATATGATAAAATGAGAAGCTCCGCGTTAGCAATTGAGATTAATTGATCAATTCAGACAGCTTGTAACAGGAAAACGGGAATAGTTACAAATTTGACTAAAAACACATTTTAAAGCCTAAAGTTTTGGCTTTAATTACAATCAAGAACATATTAAGTAGCAATCGTGATTGTCGAGTTAATAGCAAAAAAAATGTGATAGTTTTTTTAGTATTAAAAATTAATCGTACAACTTTGACAGCTTATTACTGGAATATAAATACATCTTCATAAATACATCTTCAAGCCTAAAGTTTTAGCTTTATTTACAGTTATGAAAGTATTAAATAACATTCGTGGTTTTTGAGTAATAGCAGAAAATGTGAAGAGAATATTTCTTTGTTTTTAATAATTATTCAATTTTGACAACTTATTACTAGAAAACGAAAATAGTTACAAATTTGAATATAAACACATCTTCAAGCCTAAAGTTTTAGCTTTATTTACAGTTATGAAAGTATTAAATAACATTCGTGGTTTTTGAGTAATAGCAGAAAATGTGAAGACAATATTTCTTTGTTTTTAATAATTATTCAACTTTGACAACTTATTACTAGAAAACGAAAATAGTTACAAATTTGAATATAAATACATCTTCAATTCTAAAGTTTTAGCTTTATTTACAGTTATGAAAGTATTAAATAACATTCGTGGCTGTTGAGTAATAGCAGAAAAAGTGAAGACCATATTTTTATATTTTTAATAATCGTACAACTTTGACAGCTTATTACTGAAAAACGGCAATAGTTACAAATTTGAATATAAACACATCTTCAAGTCTAAAGATTTAGCTTTATTTACAGTTATGAAAGTAACAAATAATATTCGTGGTTGTTGAGTAATAGCAGAAAATTTGAAGACCATATTTTCATGTTTTTAATAATCATACAACTTTGATAGCTTATTACTGGAAAACGAGAAGAGCTTCAATTCATACTAAATACGCATTTTAAAGTGTTTAATTTAAGTTTTCAATATTTCAACTAACATTCGTGATTATCAAGTGATAACTTAAATCTAAGTTGTCCACACTTTAATAATACATTTAAAACTTATTAAAATCAAAGTTTTCCAACCACAAAATCCGAGTTTGTTATTTTTGAAATTTGATTACTGTGAATACAAACACACTTTCAGCTAACGAAAATTGATCGAAAATTAATGAAGAGTGGATGAAAAGCATTAGCGTTAAATGTGAATAAATATTTAATAGGACAAAGGAGGTAATTAATTGGATTATAATAACTTTAGCCATAGTGGTTCATCTAGTTGTTATATAGCCTAGAGAAGTGTTTCTCAACCTATGAGTTCGCGAAATGACAGCTGTCACCTTGTGTCAAAGCGAGGAAGTAATGAGATATTATTATCAATTGGGTTGCTATGCAACTATAAACAAATATGTTGTAAGACATTTGACGTAACCTAATACTTAACCTAATAATTTAATTTCTATGATCTAACCTAACCTAAATGCTGCTCAAATTTCGTTAAGGTTCTGACAAACTTATTTAAATATGAGAATTTGATGGATCAAACGATTAGCACCATTTGCACGTTGAATAATAGATGAAGGTACAGTGAAAATGAAACCAATTTATTACATCCACATTACGTAGAACGAATACGACGCGAGGTAATTGCGATGCAATCGTTCCGATAGAAATCTGAACGGTGTTCGGGGAGAATACACATTTTATCGGTCGAATAATTGTCCGTTTAGGGCCAATCAATCCGCAATAAAGACACAATCTAGATACCAAACGAACAATTGCGAGAATAACTGTAATTGATTTGTTTTTGTTGATAATCGTAATAGTTGTGGAATTGGATTGGGAACGGCGCGAGTGAGTCTAATGTAACCCATATTTTCGCGGCGTGCCAAGGGCGACCCAAAGGAGGGAAATCAATAAGGAAAAACGTTGTTATTATTATAATAATAAGGGTAAACAGAAGATGGAAAGTGTGTTTGCATACGATGCTCATATCGTATGCCCTTTTTTATTTCCCAACAAACGAGCTAACAATCCGACGGAGAGACAAACAAAATTCACAGATTAAACACGAATTACGTTTCGGAATTCGTTACATCCGTTACCACATATTTAACAGTCGAAGCACGTGTAATTTGTTTGTTTCTGTTTGGTTTTCACGAAAAAAAAAAACCCAATTTCAAACATTAATAAGCACATAAGATTAGAAGTTATAAAGTATTAGACTTAATCATCATTAAAAATGTAAATTTTCTTGTGTGAAATAAAACTCTTTGTTTTTGTATACAAAGAATGAATTTTAATCAATTATATATTTACCATTTTGTCCCATGTACTTCTGTCATCTTTCTGGAAACTTCATAATTTCCGTCTCATATAACTTCTGGTCATTATCAGATAAAAACTGAAGCAAATCCGATTTCAGGTCATCATAATTAGTGAAAGTTTTACCATTTAAAGAGTTTTGTAAACTTCGAAATAAATGGAAATCTGATGGTACAAGGTCAGAGCTCTATGGTTGGATGTGGCCTCACTTCCCAATCAAGTTCCAATAGGTTTTCCACGAATTACCAAAGATGTGAGAGAACTTGCATTCTTTTGATGAAACAATTCTGGCCATTTTTTTCTTTGATTGCTTCCACCAGTTTCATCAGTTGTTGACAGTAAACATGTTGTGTTCAACCATTAAGTTTGGGTGCCAATGAGGACAATGAGCAGAATAGACAGATCCCACGGAAGACAGTGACCGTTTGCAACGTTTCTTCGTATTTTCAACTAAAAACCAAACTGCAGAATAGACAGACTCCTCAAAACAGTGCCTTACTCTTTAAACTCCCATCCCGTTCGTATTAATAAGAATTAACTTTGTAAGTACAATTAGTATTTAGAAGCAGTCTCAGTAAAACCTTTAAAGATGAACATAGTCTTATAACAATCTTAATATGATGAGCATAGTCTCAGATGAATCTTAAATCTATCAAGTAACAAATAAAGTTATGTGAAACCAAACGAATTTCTTTAAATTCGCCACAACGACAACAGAAGTCCAGAAAACCATCCCTGGGACACGATAAAGATGTGAATTGTAATCACACCAGATTGATAACATGATCTTTTTTTGTTGCAATTTCGATCATCAGCTTCGTTTTGGTTTGTGATAGTTCATCACACTTGAATCATGATTATTTTCGTTTAAAAAAGTGTCGATTTCATTACATTTTATATAAATATTGCAAATATTGATTCGTTATGTTCAGTGAGACTTTTTTCAATTCATGTGAATATCAAGATTCTTAACAAATTCAAATTAATTTAAGTTCTTTTTATTTGTTGTGTGTGTGTGATACATTTAATCTATCTGCAATCTCCTACACAGTTATATAAAGATTTGATTCAGTTATGACTTTGATTTGGTCGTCGTAAACTTCAGAAAGTTGGTCAACTTTGAGTGAAAAATCTCGAAAACGGACGTTTTTAAACCAATTCTGACACGTGCATTCTGTTAAACAATTCACATATCGCTTCTTGCTTTTACGGAAATAGAAAATAAGTGGAAAATATCCGATTTTCATCTCTTGTCAAAATAACAAAATTACGCGTAGTTGGCTTCTATAGGAAGCTAAAAGTGACATTTTCACAAAAGACAAAAGAAAAAAATGATAACTTTTGACAGAAGTCATTTAAAACTAACATAATACTAAGAAGAACAACATAATACATTTGTCAACCCAATAATTAATAATTCAATATTATTTTCTATGATTCGACGTAATTTTAACGCGTAGTTGGCTTCTAAAGGAAGCTTAAAATGACATTTTCATAAATGACAAAAGAAAAAAATGATAACTTTTGACAAAAGTCGTTTAAAGCTAACATAATACTAAGAAGAACAAAATAATACATTTGTCAACCCAATAATTAAATATTATTTTCTATGATTCGACTTAAAATTACGCGTAGTTGACTTCTATAGGAAGCTAAAAGTGACATTTTCACAAATGACAAAAGAAAAAAATGATAACTTTTGACAGAAGTCATTTAAAACTAACATAATACTAAGAAGAACAACATAATACTATCTATCTGTCAATCAATAATTAACAATTATATATTATTTTCTATGATATTCGACTTATTTCGAAATAGAAACTCTGCTTGAAACTCGAGAATTGTATATTTGTATCATGATTATATAATATGATAATATTTCTTTGTGCGTTTTATGTAAAATATTGCAAAACAATGTATGTTGGTCGGCCTCAACGTCCCAGTTATAAAATACGTTGATCGTATGTAGATATGTGTCGTGAAAGAGGGAAAACGATAGTTTATTCAAGCCTCGCATGCGATATTTATGGATTCACAGGAAAACACTCATAATCTGAGTAAATACAATTTCGGATTGCATCGATGTGGGTAATAGCTTCTGAAAACGATTGATATTCTATTGAGCGCAATTAAATATTCTGTTTTCCTGTAAGATAGCTTTTACATTTTAACAAATATCTTAACAATCAACAAAGACATTTATCTCGAGAACGATTACAGCTAATTAAGAAACTAAGTATGTATTTGAAAATTGTAGCAAATAAACTAATTGTGCTGGTGTTTATGGAGCTTAATGATGCGTTACAGAGAAGATATACGAGCACATATAAATGTGCACAGTGGAGTTTTCTAAAATAAACCACAATGAAATACAAATAGTTTAGTTGATGACAGTTTAATGACTGGAACGTTTATAATTTATCAGTATGTAAATAAGGAATAGATTTCAAATAACTTTGTTAATTCAAATTCAATTAATTGTGAATTTATTGAAGGATGATTGAAATAGAAAAAGCTGAAATTTGATGGAATATCATGGTGTTAGTGAAATGAGGAATGGTTGGAATCTAGTGGGCTACGGTTTGCTATGGTAACAGCATGTATGTCTGTTTCATGTTTCTGTCGCTATCATCGCACGCACATGCATTTATGCAAATGAGCACGTGCTTGTGGTTGCATCCCAGATGCGGGCATGGCATGGCACAAACGGCACGCCGTTCGTTGCGTTTGAATGAATGATGCGACTATGATGGGAAGGAAAGAGGACTTCCTCGACGGAGATGCTCAGGTTGTTGTCGTCCTCTCGATTAACGAGCAGCAGGAGGAGGACTTTGACAGTTGTCGAGAGTGGTCACACGTGGTGGTTTATTGCACCGTTAGAGGGCCTAAAAATGTGTGCCCAGTATGTTTATAAAGTCGGCCCTTGAAGTTATTTATTTATTTATTACGGGGACGCACGTGATCGTACGGCGGCCGGAGCCACGAAGGAGTCCCCCAAGAGGAAGGAGCAGAGCTGGAGGAAGGTGCAGGAGGTACGCGCAGACGAGGAAAACCGATAATCGTAAGAGGTACACCAGTCAGAGGGAGAGCGACGAAGACGGAACGAGACGATACGACGGTGCGACGAAGACGGAACGAGACGGACGAGAGAAGAAGCAGCAACAATAATAATAATAGTTATTATCGTGGTGGTCAGGAGGAGTGAGAGAGACAGAGAGAGAGCCGTGCGAGGGGGTTGCCCGAAATTCGCCCCTATGGACGGTACAAGGATCGTCCTGCCGGACCCGAGCCCCACGTCGCATGGACCCCACACTATATTCCACAATAGACCTGCAGGAAAATAAGTAAGTCTAGCCAATAGGTCACCAATAGCAACCACCACGATTACATAAATAAACAAACAAACGCAAACGGGAAATACATGACCTACAAACATGAAAACCGTAATCCTGTTAAGGGGAAAATCGCGCTACCAGAGCCCGTAGCAGTAGTAGTAGTAGCTTCAGTTACCTTAACCCCCAAAAGCTAACGTCAAAACAGTGAAAATCTTCTTAATCGAACTCCAAAGATAACCGCAACCCTTTTCATCGAATTCTTACGTAAATCGCACGTTCAACGAAAGAGCGTTTCATGCAGTGCACCTAGTTTTTTCAAATATTTCAAAATTCTCGCGCACGTTTGGTTGCATACGTTCGTATGATCTGTCACCTTGACATGTTTACCTCGATGTGGGGAAATTCGCTGATAGCAGTCGCCTATCATTTCATAATATTTGTTTACCTCCTTGGATCCGATTTATTTACTCTATTTTCATGCACTCGCTGCAGCTGAACAAGTCATCCGCGAAGTTTGCTTGGATTTAAACCATAAGATTTCTTGTACATCATTACTGCACAATAGCATCAATTTAAAATAAATTAGATTTACTTTAACAAACGATACGTAACAACTTTAACGCAATAATAATAATATGTTTGGGATGTCCAACGAAAATCAAATAAACTATTTATTTATGCGAGGACTTGTGATTTTCAACATTTATTATTATAATAATAGAAAAATGATCCAGAAGAAGAATGCATTTTTTTTTAAATAACGTCGAATTAGTTTTGATTGTACAAATCATTGATCGGTTAGCGAATAAACCAGTTTTCTGGAAATAAACAAATTCTTGATTTTATGCGGTCGTCATTGAAACTGACCCCTTTGATCGTTTTACCAAAAAAATACATTCAATTTACATTGCAAAAGTCCAAAACGAAAACATTAGTTAATTATTTTGTACTCGTTTCAAGCTACATCTATGTTTATTGACTTCATTTCGTTAGGTAAACGTGCTTCAAATCAATTTTGTATTAGAAAATGTATGTTTTCATATGTATGTATGATTTACGTCTATATTTCAAAGAACCAGTTAAAATCATGAGTTAAATTTAATTGTCTCAGTTTAGCAATTTTACCAAAAACTAATTTGTTTGTAGGTTTTCTTTAAATTACTTTGCTTTCTGTACTTGAACAGTTCGACTTGACTTAAAGTAGTGATCTTGATTTTGTTTACTTTCGAAGTCATTAAAGTGTGTTTCATTCGGCTTGGCAATTTTCTTTGACCTAATACCTTGAGTGAGTTATAAATGCTCGTTTATTTATTGTTTTTTTTTTGTCTTTCATTCAATTTTGAATTTCGCGCGACTCGTATAAACATTTTCGTGATTGGTCGAAGGGTTCAGTGGTTGGGGTGGTGGACCGTCAGAGGGCCCCGCGATGCGTGGTGCCCAGAAGAGAGTATGTTTGTAAACTAGGGAGCCTGTGGAAATTCCTGAAAAACAAAACAAGCGCAACCGAAACGTCGAAGCTCTTCGTGCAACCTCCGCGCCTGATGCTGTTGCATAATCTGTGGAGAGAGAAAAGGGTCGGGGGGTTGCTGCTGCTGCGGCGGTGGTTGTTGGGCTGCAGCTACGGGGAGGACGTCCACGGGAAGCGCGTTTTCCCGACGGCGACGGTGGAAATGTGGAGCGCGTCAGAGTGACATGAGGGGTTAGGATTTCGACGCTGCCATCCGCACACAGAGCGAGAGGGGGCGAGTGCGTATTTGTTGTTGTCGTGTGAGACGGACAGAGGGATCTAATGCGAGAGCGAGCGAGAGGACACCAGGGATTCGGACAGTTGCCTCTCTCTCTCTCTCTCACTTCACACTCCTCATCCCCCGTTGTCATCGACGACGACGGGAAAACTTAACCTCCAAATATTCGCGTATCTGTGTTTTCCCGTTTCCGAGGTCCGAAGGAATTTTCATCAATGGACAGAGACGCTAAGTCCCGGACGCCGTGCGGCCCCGCATCCAACTGAGTCGCCCTCGCGATGCGACACCTTCCGCTCGTCTTTTTCAATGTTTTTTACTCATGTTTTTGTTTGTTTTAAATAACCTCCTGAGTGCAGTGCAGTGAGTGCGAGCGAGAAGGAGCGACGTGTAAGTTGTTTTGTTTCTGCTACAAATTTGAAATTACGCTGATTCCCATTCACCATGCATTCGCCTTATTCAGACCAATTCGAAAAGAAACGCCACCACCTGACAGAGTTGTACTCTCTCCCCCCACTTGTTCGATTCATCTCTACTGTTGTAACAACTTTACACTCCGAGTAAACAAACTTTGACAGATGTATTTAGGTTGTTTATTTCTGTAAATTAACCTCAACCAGTAATGATGTGGTGTTATACTTTTGTACTTGTTCTGATCAGACTGAGATTGTTATTGGAACGTTGTAACTTTCAGGGAATTTTCAATTGGAATAGATGCACTGCATACGAGGAGGGTCTGGATGTTAATTCGAAGAGACTCTAATTATGCAAAGCCTGGAGGCGGCATGTGAGGAGGGTGAAGCTAGCACATCGTCATCCTGCCAATGTGATCAAAAAAATAGTGCTGTTAATTTAAAAATGAATATGGTGTGCACACACTCGGTAAGGAAACTAGAAAACATATAAGATTTTATTAATTTTTATTTATTTTTGTATTACTTTTTCACATATTGATGGTTTGATTTTAGCGATCGTTTAAAAAGGCAAAAACCGCTCGTACTACCTCCCTGCCACTGCAGCCCAGCCAGGACTCTGTGCCAACGTCGAATATTCCTCCACCGAAGCCTCAATTTTGTATACACACAAAGCTGTTAGAGTTACATTTAGAAGAGTGTGCCAATGACCCAAATGCACTGAAAACTGTGAGTTTTTTTTTTCCTATTGAATTCATGCATACTGTAATGTGCGACTCCTCACGGTATAACTGTTCTTTTTATTTCTGCCCGTCCTCCTTCCATATTTTCGTAATCGTTTACAATACCTTAAACTTATTGTGAAAATGCTTTGACTTTGAAAATTCAGCTGCAAGATAAAGAAACAAGATGGGATTGTTTAATTGATTTCATGTCGCTTGCAGGGATTGAAACGGAATTCGCATCTATTGGAAAAGCTGGTAGCGAGAGAAAGACTGAATACATTAGTTCTAAACTTATATCCAGGTAATAAAGGTTACTCGCTGTCGTTTCCGATCGGACCGAACATACAGCTGAGCGCGGAGATGTGCAGCGGGGAGCCGGACACTGCCGACACGATACAAACAAAACTATGGCCTTATGAAGATGAGGAGCTGCTCAGGTACATTGACAATGAGGAACTGCCGGTGTTCTTCATCGACCTTCTGCTGCCGAACTACGGCTTCCTCTTTTACAATGGCTGCATCATTGCGGAAGTGCGTGACTATCGGCAGGCGTATCCCGCCTGCAAATGTGATATACACCACGTGCTTCTTAAACCGACACTCCAGGTAAGACTTTCACTTTCGAAAATCTATTCATTTTCATTGCGTCCTTATTTTCCAGAGCATATATGCTGATATTAACGAGATTACTGACGATAAAGTGGAATGGGGCGCGGAAGAGAAGCTGCAGCTGGAGAGTCAAATTCTTCTAGCGAGAAACCCGCAACTCTGTTTGGACCCGAAGAGCACGATAGCGTACGCAGCGACCAAGTTCAATCACAATAAGCAACTGTTGAACACGAAGCCACTGCGACGGGCGGCAAAGAGATACTCGCAGGTTGTGGTGAACAGGAAGAAGAGGCTTGTGCCGCACACACACAGGCCCGGCCTCGAACTGTACGACTTCCTGACGAGGACGCGCGGCAGGCTGAAACCGCCGAAGGCGAGAAAGCTGTTGCAGCACGAAGAGATCCGTCCCGCCCCGGTGCCGTCACTGGAACTGCCCCCTCTGAATCCGCCCACGCAGGGCGTTCACATCCCCGCCGATCGACTGGCCATGGAACAGAAGCCCTTTGACGAGAATAATGTCGTCAGCGATTGCTCGCCTAGGTTGGACGAGGTGTTCACCATAGAGCAGGACAACTACACGAAAGAGAAGGATAAGCAGATTCGTCGGATATATGTGATAAAGATTTCGATTCTGCAGCGGCCTTCTAACGAGGAATATCTGGGCGAACTGTACGTGGACCCCGATTACAAAGAGGGAGAGCGGAACGGCGTGGCGTGCACCTTCCCGCTGGGCACGCGCGTCCACGTCGAGAGATACCTGCAGCAGATCTTGGAAATTATCACCGAAGGTGGTAGGAAAATCGTGCGCGTGCATTACGTGAAGGTGGGTATCGATCGTTCTCGGGTCAGTATGATCAATCTAAAGAAGAACTGTGCTTTCCAGATGGGGAATCAACAGAATTCGCACGTGTGCTGCACTGCGTATCCGTGGGAATCGATCCGAGGTCTTCCCATACCGTTCTACAGTCCCACGCTGAATGGTACCGTTAACTCCGTGAGCATGCTGCATCAGCAACATCATCAACAGCAGCAACAACAACAACACCACCACCCACAGCAACAGCAACCACACCAAAGCACGCATCATCATGTGAACATGCAAAACTCTTCGGTTCCTCTTCTGGTTTGTATAATAATTTATTTCGATTGCTGATTGTATATTGTTTTGATTATTTGTAGCAAGCACAATTGCAATCGAACAACGCTCAAGTGAAGACAGCGGCGCAAACTCAAAACGAAGAAATAAATGCGCTAGCTACAATTCTCATGAATTCTTCACAGCAATTCCAGGCGGCGGGTAAGTGTTATTCCAATGCTTTTCCATAGCATTTCTTTTTTTTTTAATAATATTAATACTATATTTGATTTGCAGCTGCCAAACAACAGCAGGCTAAGTTGGCTGCGGCGCAGGCGGCGGCAGCGGCGGCGGCGGCTGCTGCAGCGAATAATAGTAACAATGCTGCGATCATAAACCTGTTGAATAGTTCGCCGGCGAGCAGTGTGAACAGTGAGGCGAGTGCGGTTGTTGTGAACGCCATAAACAATATGCTGCCGCAGCACGTGCAGACTATCAACCAGAAACTGCTTGGCAGGAAGATTACGTTGTCGAATGTACCGAACGCGCGAGTGATAAACCATGGGAATCTTATTGCAGTGAACAACAATAGCAGGGTGAGCCTGTCGGAACTGAATGCGCTTCAGCAGCAGCAGCAGTCGTCGCAGCAGCAACAACAACAACCTCAGACAATCACCTTGACGACAGCAAACAACGCCAACTTTGCGCATGCCATCTACTCGACGGTGCCGGTGAAGCAGCAGCAGCAGCAACAGGTGGGCGGTGGGCGTGTCATAGGGGACGGCGGCAAATCGGCTCTGTCCGCGTTGCTGGTTGGGACTCCTGCCGCCGATCGACCGGACATCATTGGGCCAAACACGAATTCTCTGCTGCTGGAGAAGCTGGCGGGTGCTAGCGCGAGCCCCAACCACGCCCAGAGCCCGCCCCAATTTATCTCCGGTTTGCAGAACGTGCAGGTGCAACTGCCCGGCTTCTCGCAACCTATCTCTCTATCCCTGAACGTCTCCTCTACGGGCAACATGGCCGGTCATCATCCCACAAGTCTTCTGGTCTCTGTGCCGGTGACAACAAGTACCTCCACGTTGACGACGGCCAGTCAACAGCCGCAGCCCAACAACGTTGCTTCCGCCTGCTCCTCGCTCACGCCCACCGTAGTCTTTGGATCCGGTAACATAGGTGAGATATTGTAGCTTGTCGAGATCGTCCTAGAAATTTCCCATTATTTCCTGAGCCATCGACATACGAATACGACGTGAACCACCTTTATAATTTGCAGCTCAATTAGTTTCGTCGGGCGTGAAGGGTCTCACGCAACAGGGGATCCGAAGCGTGTCGGCGTCCGGGGGCGGCGCATCGGTTGGATCGTCGGCAGCGGCGGGCGTGGCCATCGCACAGGGCGCTCAGTCTTTCCAGATAAAGGCGGCGCCCGTGCAACGGCCTCGAGTGCAGCAGCAGGCCGCGGCTGGCGGCGGCGGCGGCGTCGTCCAACAGAACATCGCCGCCGCCAGAACGATCCAACGGACGCCGATCACGATAAAGATGGCTGCCGCACCGCAGCCCACCCAATTCACCGATCTTCAATTGCACTTCGACAGGACATGATGTCTGCATGAGTACGCTACGTACGAAGTAAATATTTTCCCCCCTTATAAAAACTTCAATGAGAAAACAAAATCATGCATGCTTACCATCTTCATACCTTTTTTATATTCGTATATACTTATATGAAAAATAGATATATTTTTTTTTTGTTTTTCGATTATTTTAATTTTTCAAGTCAAAGATATACATATATATATTTTTTTCTTTCTGTACATACATAATACAAGTGATGCTGTGATTAGTACTATTATTACTATTAATTATTATTATTTTTGTTTTTTTTTTTATATATACATAATTTATTCATACAATTCTTTTTTTCGGGAATTCCTTGTTGCCCTCCTCTAGATATTTGAAACGCAGAAGAAACAGCAACGGTACCAACGATTATTAAGTCAGCAACTTGTGCAAAGAAGATAATAATAATAATGTAGAAACGAAGAAACAGGAACAGCTTGCTGAGAGAACTCAAACAATGCGAAATAATATTAACTATGTACATTTTTTTTTTACTATATTTTTTTATTGTTGTTTATTTCCTCTTCTCCTCCGTTCATGTAATGCTAGTCCTAGTGATTATTTGTTTTTTGTAATAATTTTATTTCTTACACACACACACACACACATTTATATATATATTATATTTGTATATTGACTATATTTATACGCATATACGTATATATATACATATGTATTTAGACAACAGTGTTAATTGGATAATTATTTTAATTAAGACATTGTAAAATAATACTGTAATATTTGTATTAGAAGAAGAATGGTCAAGAAGATGATGAAGAAAACAGAAACGATGATGATATGTAAAGAAACTGCCCTATATTAGAGTAGAGATATATATATATATTGTATTATATAATGTTGTAGCTAAATGAATTGGTAACGCCCATCGTCGTCGTGAGGTGGGCGGGGCGGAGGCGTGGCGACCCGCAACCGCCCGACGTGCACAAATCAGGGATATACAAAACTTTCTTTTAGGTATTCTATTTTGCGTGTAATAAGTTTAAAAAAAAAAACAACCGTTTCATAATATTTTCTCTCTATCTCGTTCATTTCGCGCGATTTTCATAATGTTTTTTCTTTCATTAAATATATATATATGAAATGATTACTTAAATAGCTGTAATTGTAATTATAGCGAACGTTTCATAAGACAGAGACAATTCTTAGGGTTACATAACTATAAACGATTGAGATACGGTACTTTTATCTGCAGGGAAATATATAAAAAAAAAAATGCTGAACACAATTGATATATATATATATATTCGTTGAAAACAAAAGAAAGAGAAAAAAACGCGTTTTTCGTTTGTCTTGTTTTCTTGCGCGAAGCCCGGCTCTAACTAAGTTTGGTTGAGGAAATTATTATTTTGAATCCAGTATTGTAGTGGAGAGATGCGTTTAGGTTATAAGTAGACGTTTTTTTTTTTGTTTTAAGATGTACATTTTCTTTGTTCTTGTTGTCAAGGTTACAAAGGTTATTTGGGCTTCCGGAAAGAAAACAAACGGAGGAGGAGGGCGCGAAATGAAGATGAAATCGAGATATGACGGAAAAACAGATGAAAAACGGATCGGCGGCCAACGTCGATTTTAGAGGCCTTACAATTATTATTTTCATCATCACACATAAAAAAAAACACAAATCTCCACCACCACACCCCCTCTTTTTGTACATACTGAAACACAATAATGACAAATATTAATTACGATAATTCAATAATTCTACTATTGATATAATGTGTAACGTATAATAATAACGATTAATGAAGATGTATCAATTTGATAATTCACACTGTACGAAACGCTGCGTGAATTTGCCCGAAGATGAATGGAATACTAGGAACATTTGTGATATTTTGTAGTAAATAGCACAAGAAATAAAAATAAATGAATATTCAAGAATTATGATTATATAAATGAATCCAACTTAATAGAAAGACGAAAAAGCTTTAAACTCTCAAATAATTGTAATAATCTAGTGATACAAAGTGACATTACAAAAGTTCAATTTATATTGTTGTTGTTGTTGTTCATCATTCGCGCTTCGCAACCAAAACAAAAGTTGATTTTCGTAGGGCAAATTCATTTGTTTCATTTAGCTCGGACCGTCGTTTCGATGTCGAACAGATGAAAATTAAGAAAAGAAGTCAATTTAACAAATTTTGTATTAGGATTTTTGTACTTTTATAATTCAAAAAGAAAAAAAAATTTGAAATAATCTTATTGTAAACAATTTTTAATTTGATTGTTTCGCTTCTCTTTTGTCCGCATTGTTACGTTGACCAATTGTGAATATGCAAGCGCTCGCGTAAAAGCGAATGCAAGAACTAAAGTTGTTGATAACTTTAAGCTTTAATTAAAGTTAAAACGATATTCGAAACTGCGGCCCGAAGATTTTGCCGATTTTGATGTACATTCAATATTTTTTTATTATGTTATTATGATTATGTCGAATTACGTAGGAGACGTCGCAATTGATCTCATCTGCACTATTGTCTCGTGCACTATCGTTCCTAAGGAGAAGAAAAAATAATGATGACTTTCGCATTGTGAATATGTTATAAAAACAAAACAAAAGGGGCTGCGCTTGCTAGATGTAATATGCACATTCTTCAAACAATATTAAAACAAAACACTAAGAGAAAAACGCCCACGCCTACTCGATTGATTCACGTTCAACTGAAATGAGTACAAAAAGAAATATTTTGTTTTTCTTCTTTTTTAAATATTTTATATATATATTTATAATTTCTGTTTCGTTTATTTGCAACGATCCGATTGAATTGGAAACGCAAAATTGATTGAGGAGAAACAAAATTGAGGAAATTTAGAGCAACAAAACAATGTGTGTTAGTGCAACTATTTTGTTTTTTTTTGCTATTCGATTCAAGTAATCCTTGCCAGCCGCAGCAGCAAAAAAAAAACGTTTCTTCCTTTTTCGAGTCACCAAGTGCATTGGATTCGGGTGAGAAGTCCACATCCCAAAGTTTTCTTACTGTTAAAATATTTACATATATATATATATTTAAAACAAAAAATAATAATACTTGTTTTCTTTGATCTAATGATAGTGAGTGGAAAAGAAATTGTACATAATTTGTAGTAGGTGGTGAAAAAAAAAAGAAGATAGGAAAATCATCAATCAATCAACCCCTAATCTCACCGTTAAAAGAAAAACAAACAAAACTTTGTAAAATATTTATTGATTTAGCGAAATTTGTAATAAGAGACAAGAAAAGGTAATTTAATAATTAATTAATATTAATTGCATATATATATATAATATATAAGTCGAGACACCTTTGTACATAATTATTAGTTATAATATTCACTCATTTGTTTTTTTATCTCTCATCCTTCCTTAATAAATTGTGTTTTGTTTTCTGTTAGTTTCTAAGCGACGCAAAATATTTATATTTTTCTACCGTTTCTTGTTTTTTTTTTCTCTCTCTCTATCTATCTCTTTAATTTAATTATTTATCATCGGTTGTGTTTCATTAATTAATTAATTATAATTTTTAATTACATCGGACCTGAACTTTTGATTCTTAAAGTGACTGATTAAAAAGTAATTTCAATTGTTCGTCATTCTTTTATTATTATTATTATTTTTGTTTTTCGTTGTTTTCTCAACGATCATCAAACTTCACACAAAAAAAAAACAAACAAATCAACCTCCTAGATTTATAAAGAAGCAATATCTTCGCAAGATCTTAGGCCGCAACCTTGGCCTCTCTCCTCTCGAAACAATAAAATCAAAAAGTGAATTTTTTCAATCAAGGCGCGGCTCTGCCACACATCACATTTTCTTAATTATTATTAATGTGTAAATATTAAGCTTTCCTTCTCTCTCTCTTTATTATATAGTTAAGCCTCTCTTCACAAAAGAAACACACTTAAATTATTTTCGTTTATTGTGATGATTGTAATGTAAGTAATAAATATATTTGTACATTGTGTAATAATAATTTAAAAAGAAAAAGAAGGAAAAAAAAAGTGGAGATTTAAAATGAAAAAAAAAACAAAGAAAAAGGTCTAGTGTGTATGTACATTTGTTATCTTATTATATACTATTAAATATTAATTGATATTTTTTTTTCTACACTTTTTCCTGCGACCTTTCTCTGACTTAAGTTAGAGACAACAACCTTAATCTCCTTGGTGACGCTTCATAATCCTAATAAATAAATTGTTTCTATGGAAACGAATTAAAGTGAATAGGCGATATTGATGATATCAATTCTTAATGTCATATTATGACAATCGGTGATTCTTTCAACAAAAAAAATCAAGTCACCGTTTGTCAAATTTGTGGTTGGGCTGGAAACGGATGGAATTCGTAAAGCAAATAGCCTCGAGGCTCTTTCGTCCCCAATTTTTTGGTTTTGTTTTCAGTTCTCTTTCTCGTAAACATTTATTATTTATCAATCTCATCGTTGGTCTCTTGCGTTGCGGTGTCGATGAGCTTGCCGAGAAGCTTCGCCCTCTCCATGCTCTGCTTGATGCAGTCCACCAGTTTCTCCTCGGTGATGGGACTGCCGCCCGGTTTCAGCACCGAGCACAGCTCGTCGTCTTTTATCACTATGGTGACGACACCGGTGCACAGATTCTCCTCCTCGGCGGTGGGATCGATCATGAGGACTGTCCTAAAAAGATTCCAAAGTTACATCAATGATTAATAATTGTATAATCGTTTTACTCGTCCAAGATAGCGAAAGTCGTGGAGACGGGAACGTTGTACAGCTTGAACGGTGTCCTTTCGTCCATCTGCAAGTTTTTACTATCCAGTTCCGCGTTGTATTCCACCTTCGGAAGAGACACTGAAATCGTGCATCAATTCAACTCGTTCTTTGCAATATTCAAATCGTCATTGTACCTGTTTTAAGGGCTGTGAAGAGGGCGAGCAGACAAGCGTCGATGATGGAACCGTCGTGATCTAGACACACCAGATCCGCGTACAGACACCAAGCCAATTTCTCCGTGGAAATGCAGAGATCCTGAAGGTTGATGCAACCGGAATTCTCGATGATGTCCGCTATGACCTTGGTCGCCACCTGCGCTTGATCACTGGGTGGACCGGGTTTGAATTTCGAGGAACATAAAGGCGGCAACTCCAGATTCGGAATGAGGAAGCCCTGCGTTGGAGTTTCCGTTTTCGGCTGGCAAAGCTCCTGCAATTTACAACAAACAATCTGTTATTTTTTTCTCAACTAATTGTATTTTCCCGCGAATTTTTATAACTAGTTTATATAAAACATATTATATGTAATTAAGTAAATATTGAAATAGTTGTTGAATAATTAAATTGATTTTTGAAAATGTTAATAAAGTGTGCCTTGAAGAAAACAAAAGAAACAATAAACAAATGTCAAGTAATTGTAATCCTTCCTTACCGCTTTGATTCCACATATTACTGTAGTTTTGCCAACTTTGGCAATAGCTGAGCCTTCGGCTGTAGAAACAGAGTTCGCATTGATAATGACTGGTCGGTACTTGGTCAGTTCCCTGCCATCCGGTCTGATGTCGTGGGCCAAGTAATCTCTGAAATACTTGATTGGATGGAGAGATCTGAAAGAAATAAATGAAATGCAATTAAGAGATCCCCAATTAATGAATTGCTGTGAAATGGCAAACTCACTTGTATTGCTTTGCCATCGTTTTCAATGGGAAACGGTAAATTTAGGAAATGATAGAACAACAGAAAAATTAAATAAATACAGAGGAGAAACAGGAAAATCTCATAACCTGAAAGGACATGTGTTTTTGTTTACGACTGTGAATAGCGACGTTGCGAATTCTACGACAATGACGGAAAGGGAAATCTCGCCGTCTGCGGAGACATGTGTTTATAGATCTTATGTGATTTCCTGGTTTTGGGGGGATGACCCTTCGAATTGTGAAGAATTACGCAAGATGTTCGCGCTTTGAAGAAAGAATGGATGAAAGAAAAGGGAGCGCCAGGTGATGGAGACAATGGGGATAGAAAAACGGAGGGAAAATAAATGGAGATCCGACAATGCCGTGGATATTGGCTTTTCTGACAGCTCGCCATGGCAACCGAGGTCGTAGGTGGGGGTTGTTATAACATTTTATACAAATACCACGAACATACATAAGTTTACTATATATATATATATATTTGGCGATTCCCGCTCTTTTTTTTTTATACAAATATTGATTGGCTTTTTTGACCGGAGAGAAGGTAAGAACATCTTTATTATTTTCGCTAATGAATCGATGCGTTTGATGTGATCATATTGGAAATGCATGGATTTCCATTCGGACGTCAGATTTAATTTTGTTGTTTTTTTTTTTGTTTTTGTTTTCCCGCTCTCTCTGTTCTTTTCTTAGGAAGTTCTTTTTGGTGGGGGTCACGTGTACAGGGTAGGAAGCGTTCCTATTGGTGGATTCGAGCGGCCGAAAATCGTTCAACGGTCACTCAGCTGTTGTCTTGGTTGTGCGTGATTCGTGTGGTCTTTACTTGCGTTCTGCGACCGTTGGCGGTGGCGAGAAACGAAACATCCTAGCTTCGCACCGCTTCCTTCCTTCCACACACATTCGTTTCTATACCGCCAAGCAAGCAAGGAAGAGCAGTTCCTCTTCCGAAGTCCTGCTGAGAGCATCTTCTTGTTGCTCCCCTCCGGCTCCTCTAAGTGATTGATTTATTTCCCCCCCGTTTTGTTTTTACCAGCCAACGTTTTTTTTTTTTGTCCCCCTCACACACACACATTTCCTCTTTCTGCACCACCCGGCGAAGTGAAGCGTACAGCTCTCACTTCCGCAGAACAGAAGATGGCTTCGTTTCAAATACATGAGGACCAGGAGAACCGCAACCGCGATTATGTTTCGGGAAAGCGGTGTACGCAGAAGAGAGCAGCGCTTAGCTCATCTTTGGCCAACATCCCCGACAGGATCACGATCAAGTCGCAAAAGGTTTGTACACCTATACCCAAACCCACACAATCTATGCACAGCGCTTATCTTGACAAAAAAAAAAAATTCTTTCATCTTTTTACAGCAACCATTGGGAATAAACAATGTTAATGTACTTAAGAAATCGGATGTGGACAAGTTGTTTAAGAAGAACGATGAGAATGTGTTCAAGCAGGCGGCCTGCAAGCAGCCGGTGCCAATTGTGCCTGTCGCACAGTTCCAGGCATTCAAAGTGTACGAGGATTCACAAGATGAACTTGTCAAGAAGGGGATAGAGATCCTCGAGAAGAAGCATGTTGAGGAGGTCTTCAAGAATGCCTACAAGGGCAACGAGGATCGCCTCATGACCAAGCAGGAAGCCCTCGAGTTGGCTGGGGCCCTGGAAGTGGAAAAGCCGCAGGTCATCGACTCCTTCATTGACTCCCCCATGAGCGTGGAGAAGCTCACCGATGAGAACTCTGAACTGCATCAGTTGTGCAAGAGCAGTAGGGACCTCTTCTTCCAGTTGGACGAGTACAGGGATGAGATCTTCAAATATTTATGTGAACAAGAAGTAAGAACCAAATGTTTGATTTATATATTTTTTAACTAAGCCTTAAAAATGATTGAATTCTATCCTGTTGAACACAAACTACTACTATCAACCTGGATTTAATTTAAAATATTTGAGAACTTTAATTTAAACTTGTTACTAATGTGCTTATTTTAATAGTCTTTTGAAAAGTGTCTGTTTCATATTGTGTTTGTTTCTTGTTTTTCGTAGAAAGAGCATCGTCCTAAGGCCAATTATATGCGTAAGCAGCCGGACATTTCACATAGCATGCGCACCATCCTCGTGGACTGGCTGGTGGAGGTAGCCGAAGAGTACAAACTGTATACGGAGACGCTCTATCTGGCCGTGAACTACATCGACAGATTCCTCAGCTTCATGTCGGTGGTCAGAGCAAAGTTGCAGCTCGTCGGTACCGCTGCCATGTTCATCGCGGCGTAAGTTCCATCTTCGATTGTTGTGTTTTTGGCTTTCACAAAGAATCGTTTATGTGCAGCAAATACGAGGAGATCTACCCACCGGACGTCGGCGAATTCGTCTACATCACCGACGACACCTACTCGAAGAAACAGGTGATCCGCATGGAGATGCTCATCTTGAAGGTGCTCGATTTTGACATCTCCGTCCCTACTGCTTACACTTTCATCACCGCCATGAGCATCGCCAACAAATTGTCCGACAAAGTGACCTTTTTGGCTCAAGTGAGTAAACATAATTTTACCGCATTACATTAATAATAACTTCTTCTGAAGTTAAGAACTTCTATTTAGCTACAGGAAGTTTAAGATTTCTTCTTTGGAATTTCTAGATCTAGTTTCAATGATTGTTCAGTGAAACTTGATTTACTCGCCGGAGTATTAGAAATGTTATTGATGTCCTTTTTTTTTCTTTCTTCCAATAGTATTTGAGTGAATTGGCGCTGCTGGAGGCCGAGCCAACGCTTGAGATAATGCCGTCCATGATGGCAGCCGCCGCCATCGCCGTGGCTAGACACACCGTCGGCGAGGAGGCGTGGAGCTCCGACCTGGAGGAGAACACCGGCTACAGTCTGGAGTCGTTGAAACGCGCCGGCGAGTTCCTCGTCGGAATGCACAAGAAGGCACCCGGTCTGACCCAGCAGGCCATCCAGGACAAGTACAAGGTCGGCAAGTACCTGCACGTCTCAACCATAGCCGCTCGCGACGAGCCCATCAAGTTCGACTGAGGCAGCAAGAAAGACGCTACGTCGATGATTATGTTTATATACATACGTACATCTACGTAAACGATCGTAACAATAATTTCTTAATTATTCACTTAGTTTTAATGTGGGACAACTTAAGTGCCTTTATTATTTAGATTTAATTATTTTAAAGTACGTATTTTTTTATTACTAGTTGTTTTGATTTCAAGGAGAGAAAATGTGAAAGAAAGGATTAATGAGAGCGATTGATGATGATGATGACGATGATGACGGAACGACTACGGATCGCCGTTTTCTTTTCTTTCTTCTTTTCGAAAAAATATTCTCTCCGTGACACGACGAAGCGCGCTCGCAAATCTTATGATTTAGATGTAGGTTTTTTTTTTTAATTTTATTAAAAGAAGAGACTCTCCGGACGAAGACGATGGGATTTCCAAAGTGTGTACAGTATTTTTTTTTTTTCCTGCATATAACGTTTTCGTTTATTTACTTACTATATACTATATATTATTATTATTTTTTTTTAATCTGTTCAATGTAAGACTTCTCCACTTAAATTTGCCATACTTAAGCTTAATATATATATTTTTTATTTTAAAATACGTTTTGTTGAGTTGAGTGTATGTATGTATCGCTGAAAAAACTGATCCAATTTGCCAATTATTTTGTAACTTTTAGTCCTTAATCTCTCTTTTTATTTTAATTTTTTGTGTTGTACAGTAATTTATTTTCTCTATATTTTTTTTTGTTCTCTTTGTGTAGGTAATGTATTTTCTTTTGTGTTTCTCCGCTCGCCTTCGTTTTTGCTCCTCCACTTCAAGGGGAACCGACTTCTTCAACTTTGAGAGAAAGCAAAATAACGCTAATATATATCTTAATTATTTATACGACAGTTCTAAAGTGCACTTTTGAGATCGACAATAATTTTTTTTGGAATCATGTTTCGGTTCTCCCACGTTTCTTCTAATCTTATTATTATTATTTTTTTTAACTCGATGACATTTCTTTTTTTTTTTGAAATCTCTTGAATTCGCTGATTTCCAGCTGAATTAGCTAGAAAGTGTTTAGTTTTTATATAATATATATATATATAAATATTTATGAAGATATTTTTGTAATTGAGAAAAAGGAAAAACCGATATATTTTTTTGTATGCAATGATTACGTTAATATTTTGTACAATTCTAAGACGATATTATTATTATTTTCTTTTTTATATTATTTAACATTTTAGTTACGTTTTTTTTACTTACTTACTATTACTTCTTTCTCACAATGTTCGTTTGTTCTGTTTCTTGTCGCAGATGTTCTCGCGAAATCCTTATATCACTTGATCGTCTCTATTATATTAATAGTTTTTTTTAATGACGATGGAATACGTAAACAGTAGTCAGGTTGCTGCTTTGTGCGTTTCTTTTGGCGAAAGAAACCACTTCAAGCGTAGGCTAATTCACTTATTATATTGTCCCTCCTCTCATCATACTTGTTTCTACATCTGTGTTGTTTAATTGAAATGTTTAATATATACACGAATAAACAAAATATCACCCAATTATCTACGCGTCACTTGCCAAGTACATCACATCCCGTACATCACAATTGAAAACTTGGTTGCGTTCAACAAAAACATCCAATCGGATACTTCAACAATTCAAATGTCACTTAATTATTAGATCAATTTATCGTTACAACAATTAAACAACAAAACAATAATTGTTTTTAAACACAATATTTGATGAAGATCACTCAAGTTTCTTACAACTATTTTTGAAATTTCTAATTTGAATCCAATATCGAAACGAGAAAAAGTTTTCAAAATTTTGAACTGGCTCCATCTGACGGCGATTGCGTTTTGAAATTTTTCCGAATACAGATAGTAAAAGTGAATATTAACAAAATAAAATCCTTTCATTTTCGTCAATGAATTGCTGTAAATTAAGTAAATATGTAATATTAGTAAACTTCTTAAAAGAATTAAAAAATTCAAATTGTTGATTGCGCAAGTCTACCAACCTTTTGGTTACCAAACAATAAAAAACACCAAATTCCTCCAGAATCCCCGGTACGTTTCTGTTTATTTTCGTTGTGTGTGTTTCCGAATACAGTTAGTAAAAGTGAGTATTAACAAAATAAAATCATTTCATTTTCCTCAATGAATTGCTGAAAATTAAGTAAATATGTAATATCAGTAACACAATAGTAAACTTTTTAAAAGAATTCAAAAATTCAAATTGTTGATTGCGCAAATCTACCAACCTTTTCGTTACAAAATGAAATAACACCAAATTCCTCGAGAATCCCCGGTACGTTTCTGTTTATTTTCGTTGTGTGTGTTTCATATTACAGTTAGTAAAAGTGAGTAATAACAAAATAAAATCCTTTTATTTTCCTTAACGAATTGCTGTAAATTAGTAAATTTCTTAAAATAATTCAAAAATTCAAATTGTTGATTGCGCAAATCTACCAACCTTTTCGTTACAAAATGAAATAACACCTAATTCCTCGAGAATGCCGGTACGTTTCTGTTTATTTTCGTTGTGTGTGTGTGTTTCCGAATACAGTTAGTAAAAGTGAGTATTAACAAAATAAAATCCTTTCATTTTCCTCAACGAATTGCTGCACATTAGTTTACTTCTTAAAATAATTCAAAAATTCAAATTGTTGATTGCGCATATTTACCAACCTCTTCGTTACCAAAAAAAACACCAAATTCCTCCAGAATCCCCGATACGTTTCTGTTTATTTTCATTGTGTGTGTGTGTGCGTCAGAAAAGATCGGTGTTTATTATTTACGTTTGGTTTGTCGTTTTCCCGTTCTTCTCTCGTTTCCCAAGAAAAAAGGCGAGAGAGATGCGTTCGTGAGGAGATGTAACAGCAGTTGGCTCGTCGGGCCGTGCTCCACTCTCTTCTGTGCAACTCCACGCAATTTCTTCGCGATTCTCGTCGCTTCGTGGATGGCAGCAGTTTCAGGTTAGGAATCCGCTTGTTGTTGTCGTCCCATTCGTTATCATGCATTTGTTGTCGAGCGGTGCGCGTTTCAATTGTTATCGTTTCATTTCGAATTCGCAGCGCCAACGGTGAACCACCGGTCCGGGAAGCATGAAACGCAACCTGAAGAAGCTGCTCAAGTATCTCGCCCTCACCGGCACCACAATCCTCTTCACAGTCCTGCTCTTCCGACTGGTCAGGGGGCCCAAGTTCAGCAAATCTATTCCACCACCTGCACCCCATGCCGCACCACAGATCGACAAGATCCAGAGGGTGAGTACCAACTCATGAGAACAGATTTCATACTCGATTTCAATAATATAAATACATTTTTTGTCTATTTGGTGCAAAGTTCAATTGGAGCGAATGGAAAAGTAATTCTAATTAATGCATGACATTGAATGCATGCAACTACAAACTACTTTCCGCATTAATGTTTCCCATTTTTGTTTTTTTTTTCAACACTATCTGCATCATAAAATAACAGACAAACAAAAGAAAATGCATTTGTTTATTGGAAATTGCATTTTAAACATGATAGCATTGCAATTTACGCGTACGTGTTTAAAGTACACGAGAATTGTTATTCAACAATTGCTGTTTTTTTCCCTCCCTATATTATCGCAAATACTTGCATTGGAATTACAGCTATTTGCTTTACTTGCACAATACACTTTGATTGGAATTACAGCTATTCCAGTAGCCAAGGATACGCAAAAACAAGTGAAAACCAATCAGTTAACTGTACTGCAGTTCCATCTTTTATTACTTTTTCAAAAACATCTTATTCACCCAAAAATAAACGAATTAATGCTAGAAAATTGTGTTAAGTTTTCATGTTAAGCAATTATCTTTTCAATAATTATAATTTGTGTGTTGCGGTTTTCGATAAAACGACGTGATTTCCATGAAAATATGAAATATAATCATGTTAGATTAGTTTCTTTTATCTCATCTCACAGTTATAATTAATAACTTCATCAAAATTGCAAACACTTTCGGTTAATGTTTCGTAATCTTTGGTGATTTCAATAAGCTATGGTCTACGAAACGAAATTCTCTGTACGTACGCGTTACACTTTTCTTATCTACAAAATAGTGATGGCAACTTATGTGGGATCATTCGATTAGATTATTGTTCTATTTGAGCAGTTGCAACAATTTCCATTTGCTCCGATTTTTTATTGTTGTTCGCGCGCCGCCAATTCGGAATAATATTCAAGGCGATCGAAGGTTTTTCAACTTTCTCCTTCATTTGTATATTTGCGCGGGTTTTACTTGCAGTCGATTCTCTCGAGACGGAGACGGAAATAACAAAAAAAAATAAATAAAGGACGATTCAATCGATTCGCTCGTCTTCATTTGCAATTTGTCTGCTCGAATTAAAAAAAGAAGAAAACAAATTGAGATTTAATCATATTTTTGTTATTGTAACATCAATTTATAATTGAGTTATTTGTTGATTTGTAAAGACACAATAAATAACGTTTATTTCTGTAAATTTCAATGTGTAAATATTACTCATTTGCCTGTAATTCGCGTTCAAAAATAATAGATAGAAGACCGATATAAAAATTAGATATTTGAGGAATGCTGTGCAAAGTAATGAAAAAGTGTCTTCACATTTTAGAGATTTTGCCAGAAATCATGATGAATTTCATATTTTCACATTATAACAGTTTTGCTAGTTCTACTTTATAAAAACACCATTTTTGGTCACGTAGTATGTACCTTTTCAGGTAGTTGAAATAACTGGTCCAGAACTCGTCCGTTCCCTTCTCGTCCGATCTAATGTTTCTGTCATACCATAATTTTAATAACGCAAATATTTTCATATTAAGAAGCAATGAATTCTTTAAATTATTATCAATGATTTCTGTTTCAGGCTATAGTGGATAACGAGAAGATCGACTGGCACGACTATGAGGCGATCAGCAGAGATCTGCATAGGACAGGTAAGAGCAGACAGTCGGATTTGGGATGTTTTGTGAATCAGATTAATGGATTGTTTTTCTTTTCTTCTTCTGTTCCTGTTAAGGTCGAGGCGAGCAAGGCAAACCCGCTGCGCTCGATGCCGGCGAGAAGCACGACTACGAATCACTGTTCAAGGTGAATGGATTCAATGCTGCAATCAGTGATAAAATTGCGCTGAACCGATCACTGCCCGACATTAGGAATCCAGGGTGCGTCACAATTATAATATTTGCACATATAACACTTAGATACGACCCCCATGACATTTCGCATCACTGCATACCGATTTCCGCTTTCTCCGCACATTCTCGCATGCTTCCTGCGTGACAACCACTATAGAGGGCTCAGTAAACTACTTTGAAATTATCCATGAACATTCACTTTTCTTGGAGCAAAACTTTTCCGTTAATTTTCATTTTTTTTTTAAATTATTCTAAAAATAGTGGGTTTTCAATGTTTATTTACAAATTACTCTTTTTTAATAAGCAAGTGAAACAGAAATATCTACAAAAACAATGATTATCAGTGTTTTGAAAGATAATTGAAATAAATTTCATGTTTTTTACATTATATCGGTATCATTTTATGTTTGTTGTGAGCCGCCCTCAAACGATATCGTGTGCGTTTTATTTAAAAAGAGAAAAGCGGAAATTGTTGCTCATGTTTATAATTAGCGAACGCTTCAAACTTAGACAACGAATGTTTGCAGTAAATTGAAGCGAGACGATTTTTATTGCATGGTCTCTCTTTCCGTGTGAATCGTTATTTGGTAATCAACGCTTAAACGGGACACGCATCCTATGTAGATAATATGGATATCATTTAGTATCTTATTAAATTCGGCTGTTAAATTTTAATATGAAGATGGTTATTGTATAATGTTATTTTATTGTTGTTGTGGATGATTTAGATGCAAAGCCAAGAAGTATTTGAAACACTTGGACACTGTGAGTGTGATCGTGCCGTTCCACAATGAGCACTGGACCACTCTTCTGAGGACGGCGACCAGCGTCATCAATAGATCGCCTGTACATCTTCTCAAAGAGATCATCCTTGTCGATGATTTCAGCTCAAAAGGTGATGTATATCCTTGTTGTTTAAATCGTTAATTAATTTATCGATTTATCATTTGCAGAATTTAGCAAGGGGAAGCTGGATGAATATGTTGCGAAGCATCTGCAGAAAACTAAGGTGATCCATCTGCCGGAGAGGTCGGGACTGATAAGGGCCAGGTTGGCTGGAGCCAAAGCAGCTGTCGGGGATGTTCTCATCTTTCTAGACTCGCATACAGAATGCAACGTGAATTGGCTTCCTCCTCTATTAGAACCAATTGCTCAGAACTACAAGACTTGCGTGTGCCCTTTCATCGATGTCATTCAGTATGAAACCTTCGAGTATAGGGCGCAGGATAACGGGGCTAGGGGTGCTTTCGATTGGCAATTTTATTACAAGCGGTTGCCTCTGCTGCCCGAAGACCTGGAGCATCCCACGGAACCGTTTAGGTAAATCTGGATAAACACTCGATCAATGTATGATGTAATAATGATTTTGTTGTACAGGAGCCCGGTGATGGCCGGCGGATTGTTCGCCATCAGTACGAAATTCTTTTGGGAGCTGGGCGGTTACGACGAGGGTTTGGATATTTGGGGCGGAGAACAGTACGAGCTCAGCTTTAAGATTTGGATGTGCGGCGGTCAAATGTACGATGCACCTTGCTCGAGGATTGGGCACATTTATAGGAAGTACGCTCCGTTTAAGAATCCTGGAGTCGGAGATTTCGTTAATCGAGTACGTTTCTACTTTTATGGAAGCAATTTGTTTATACAAATTATCTTTTGTAGAATTATAAGCGGGTAGCCGTGGTGTGGATGGACGAATACGCAGAGTATCTGTACAAGAGGAAACCAACCCTGAGAACCATGGATCCGGGTAATGTTACAAAGCAGCTTGCGTTGAGGAAGGATCTGCATTGCAAGACCTTCAAGTGGTTCATGGAGAACGTCGCCTTCGACTTGCCATTGAAATATCCATTCATCGAACCTGAAGACTTTGCCAGAGGAGAGGTAAAATAATAGAGAATAAAAATAACAAAATTGGATGGCAACATTGATGTGTTTCAGATTCGTAACTTGGCCGCCCCAGAGTTGTGCGTGGACACCAACTTCAAAATCAGAGATTCCGCCGTGGACTTGAACGAGTGCATCAAAGGCACCAAAAGGAAAGGTGAACAGGAGTTCAGGTTTACGTGGCACAAGGATATAAGGCCGAAGGATAAGACCATATGTTTGGATGTCTCCGATGTGAAGGATAGAGCGAAAGTGCTGCTCTTCCCATGCCACGGAGCTAAAGGAAATCAACTCTGGAAATACGAAGCTGTAAATTCTCGACAAATTTTCACTACATTCATGTTAATTCATTGTTTCGATTATAGGATAAGCAGTGGCTGATCCACGGTCAAAACCCCAGATGCTTGGACTGCGATCCCGGCCAGAAGAAGTTGTTCGTATCGAAATGTGATGAGAACTCGATGACGCAGAAATGGCGCATCGAGCATGTGAATTTAACGATGCTTGCCAATTGGGAGAACATTGGTCCCCCATAAGAAACATATCAGTATTTTACAAAGAGACTTATTCGAAGAGGAATTATTTTCTAAATGTAACGAAGAGGTAAAAAATTCAATTAATTTTCGTCATTCTGAACTGTGATATTTCAAAAAAAGGAAAACAAAACAATGAAACAAGAGGAATTCTTCGTTAAAACAAGATGTAATAAGTATATATTTGCCATTATTTTATAAGGAATAAAATTCAATAAGGAACGTACATTTATTTTCCATTTCGAAAACTATAGTAGTTGGCATTGTTGATTGATTGTTGAACAGTTGAAAATGTTTAGTGACGTCGAACTTCAGAAAATTTGAGTTCAAGAACGTAGAGTGGTGTGATTTACAGAGCTTCGATTAATCAATGCTTGTAAACTGTTGGGGTAAGATAAATTACTTTGTATAATTGTAAATATTAGCAAAACGGGCGGTTTTTCCACTTTGTAAAAAGTTATAGAAATATTTTAATTTCGCTAGTTGTGATGGTTGCCTAATGTGTTAAATGTGTTGCCTATATCGGTTAATTACTTTTACCAATCGTGTATCTTTTTTGTATTCTTCCGATCTTCTTATGATGTTTGTCTTCAATTTATTATTTATTTTAATGTATTTGCAAAATATTTCTAGTGTGGGTTTTAAAAGGAAATCCGCAACCACAATGTTTCGTACGCAACTTGGAATGCATCAGAGGTTGCGAGTATAAATGTCATGAGTTTGTTATTGTGTCGTGTCATTGGTAAGCCGGTGATCAGATTTGTGTATCCTGCGAATAGTTTGCTGAATCTATCGAGGATGACGCACTCGGAGATGTCGAACTCGTGCTTGCAGGCGAAGCTTCTGGAGAGATCCAAGAAGTTGGCGCCCTCTTTATCGTCGGAAAGCAAGTACAAAGGTCAGGCTGGGAAGGTAGGCGTCTTCGGCGGGTCGTTCGAATACACCGGAGCGCCGTACTTTGCGTCCATCGCAGCGCTGAAGGTCGGCGCCGACCTGTCGCACGTCTTCTGCACGAGGGAAGCGGCCGGCCCCATCAAATGCTACAGCCCAGAGCTGATAGTCCATCCGCTGCTCGACGATGGGGAGAAGCAGTTCGGAAGGATCCAAGAATGGTTGGATAAGTTCGATGTGATCCTCATCGGGCCGGGATTGGGTAGGAAGGCGGAGACGTTCCGCGTGATCGAACTGATAATAAACTATTGGCGACAGAAGCGTAAGCCGATGGTCATCGATGCGGACGGTCTCTTCCTGATCACGCAGAAGCCGTCGCTGCTGGAGAACTTCGAAGCGGACGTGATCCTCACTCCGAACAAGATGGAATTCGCTCGCCTGTTAAAGTTGGATCATCCCGACGAGTTGCCCGCCGCCGATCCGCATCGGTTCATGAGGGACGCGAAATGGGGAAGTCGCGTATCTGTACTGGTCAAAGGCCATCTGGATGAGATGATCGATTGCGAGAGGAGGATGAGTTTCTGCGATTTGGGTGGATCGGGAAGGCGATGCGGCGGACAGGGCGACATCCTTGCCGGCTCCATATCGGTCTTCCTCTTCTGGGCAAGGCAGTTCGAGGAGGACAGGAGCTTTGTGGCGGCTTACGCCGCATGCAAATTGGTCAGGGAGTGCAACTCCAGGGGATTCGCAAAGAAGGGTCGTAGCTTGGTTTCCACAGATATGCTCGAAGAGATACACCCGGTTTTCCATGATAACTTCGAAGTCGATAGAAATTGATTCTCTCTGACATCTTGTATATTTTTTTAAATTGTAATATAGTTTATTTTCAAGCAAATAACTTTATTTAACCACACTTAAATACTTGAACATTGAAGAGATTGTTGAGTAGATTTATAGGTAACACTAATTTGGTATCAGCATCTGTTTTCATTGGGGAATTCTTGTGAAAAACCTTTACTTTCTATTGTACTTGCTAATTGGAATGACTGGAAAATCTTTGTAAAAAGAAATACAATTTGGTATTTCACTTTTCTTTTTTAATTTCTCGAAAACTAATGATTTTCTTTTTATAATCTTATTGCACGTTATATATTTCGAGTTTATTTTTAATTGTTTCTAAGTAGTTTTTGGGTACGTGTCCTTGAAAACTGTCCAAGATGTTTGTTAATGGAGAATATTAACTAGCAAATTATGTCGCCCAATTTATGGGTCCGGTTTATTATTGCGTCCGGAATAGTGCTGTGTAGAGAGGAGAGGAGAGGATGAGTAGAGAGTTTCACCCTATTGAGACCTTTGGAATTTATCGACAACAGATTTAGATCCCATAATTCCAGATGGGATTTCATAAAGTTTACCAATCCAAACGCTATCTGCGCGCGGCAATCCGCCGCCCGCACCCAAAACCCTTCCGCCTGTCCCACCAGATCATCATCATCATCATCATCACTCGACATTCAAATTGATTTGACCGGTTAATTATTATATTATACAAAAAACCACAACGCACGTCTCCGTGTGCAAACTCGATAAAACTGTTGTACTTTTATTTCGCGTGTGCAGATTCGGGTTATAAAATTGCAGGAGATATCGTTTCCCTTCGCGAATGCGGAGCGGCGAGCTCGTGCATCGCAATGGTTTATTATTGGGAGCTTCGGGAGCGCAGTTTTTCTCGCGATAATCATTTCAAATTTCATATATATCGCGGCAATAAAACGTGACACCGGTTATGTTTCTTTAAGGCGCACTTTGCAAAATCCAATTACATTTTTAGCAAGCAATTACACAGTTTGTTGCCCCACATTTATTGAATACATATCTAATCTTGTGGACGTTTTTATTAGAAAGGTTTACAACATTATTATGTGTCTAGAAATAATAAAATATCGTAAAGTGAGAATGTTTTCAATGAAATTCGTTAAGCGAGAACTGTTTGAAATTTGAAAACTTCAGTTTACGTTAATTAGTATACTTGATAATGTCATAGGTTAAGTGAGTACGGTGCAATGAGATTGAGGTAATAAAATTTGAATTATGTTTGGAAGTAAAATCGAGATTAAGGGATTTCTTTAATGCTTCTCTCTGCAGATGAAATGAGTCGATGTTCTCTTCATTTCTTTATGGCAATCGCAGCTCGGAAGTTTAGGACGCCGAAGGGAGTAAGCCGGAGCGAATGAAAATAATTGGTTCGGTCGTAAAGATAATTAATAGAGACGGCGGTGATGATAACAATAAAAAAAATAATCGGGCATTAATACTAAATGCGGGAATACGCAAACAGTGTAACGATAAAAGCTCGCATTTGCAGCTCTTCCGCAGAGAAAACGCGTACGAAATGATGAAAGAACTATAAAAAAAAGTAATGATAAAAGTAAAGTAAACAAAGCGCACGAACAATTAAATCAAAATTCATGCGAACTTCTGCTCCGGTTGTGGGCGCGGACTTAATTAATCCGTCTGCAATTAAACTTTAACGTGAACTTTAACCGAGCCACAAAGTAAACGAAGACCGCGCATAAAGCAATGTCCTTCTCCAGAATTCTTCTCGCGTTTCAGCGTTTGCGCAAGTTTTGTAATGCTTTGCTGGGAGTGCGTTTATTACACTTCAGTTTAATATCAACATTACAAATATTACAGAACATATATAATTTTCGATGTGAATGATCGTCTAATTGGAATATTATTGATTTATTCGTTAGTCTAGTTATAATTTCGTCCTATTGGAATAAAGTAGAGTAGTTTTGTTGTAATTTATAGCCACTTACTTTCATTCCAATCAATGTATAGTGACTACGTGGTTTGAAAAATCAATCAATGTATATTTTTTTTATATTTTATGAAGTGCGGCGGATATATCCGCCCTAATCTTTGTGCTTGGTTACTGTGATGACGCATTCATCGAATTTAAGTTCCAAGTGAGGCGCCACTAGTCTGTTTCATTGTTTTTGATTGAGCTTTGATGTTAGTTCTGTAGAAGTAGCAGTAGTCTCTCAAAAAGCAGTTGAAAATGCGACCTCCGTCCGCAAAGGGCTAGTTTCTTGCAATTTTTGGAATTACCTAACCTTTACTTAACCTAAATCAAATGAAATGAAACAACTTTGATGTTAGTTCTGTAGAAGCAGCAGTAGTCTCTCAAAAAGCAGTTGAAAATGCGACTACCGTCCGTGAAGGGTTAGTTTCTTGCAAATTTTTGGAATTACCTAACCTAACCTTTACTTAACCTAAATCAAATGAAATGAAACAATTTTATTGTTAGTTCTGTAGAAGCAGCAGTAGTCTCTCAAAAAGCAGTTGAAAATGCGACCTCCGTCCGCAAAGGGCTAGTTTCTTGCAATTTTTGGAATTACCTAACCTAACCTTTACTTAACCTAAATCAAATGAAATGAAGCAACTTTGATGTTAGTTCTGTAGAAGCAGCAGTAGTCTCTCAAAAAGCAGTTGAAAATGTGACCTCTGTCCGCAAAGGGTTAGTTTCTTGCAATTTTTTGGAATAACCTAACCTAACATTTACTTAACCTAAATCAAATGAAATGAAACAAAGGTTAAAATGAAATCGATGAGCATAAACTGGAATCTGTGTTAATATCTTTTTAATTGAAGCTAAATTGATTGATGCGAACGTGTAATTATCGTTTAGGATTTCAATTCCTTTCCGGGCTGCATTCTTTGTGTGAGTGTGTGTGTAATTGTTTCAGCAATACGTGAGATTGCTTTTAATGGCGAACGTTAACGTTATCTGATATATCTCTGGCAGATTAAACTTTTCCTCCTCGCTCCGGGTTTTCCTCGTCCACTTTTCCGCTTTTCCACTCCATCCACTCTCTGCGCCCACCGTTTCCACCCTTTTTCCACCCCCTCTCTCACTAATGCCGAATCAATGTGTTTTCCCGCAATCGAAACAAAACATTGGAAACTGCTTAAGGATTTCCATTAACAACACTCTTGAGAGAGAGTTTTTTTTTCTACTTCTTCACTCTCTCCCGCACCCATTTTCATTTTCCCTTCGTGCCTTCCTCCATTTACGGAAAAAATATCCGGAGGAAATTCGTTTTTCACAGCCTCGTTTAGGATTTTTTTTTACCCCAAATGTGTTGCCTCTATTTTTCTACTGTTTTATGTACGGCCATGTCCAAAGTCAAGAAACGTATGTATGGAAATCGCATTGAATATTTCAACATTTACAGAAAACGAAATGTTTTCCATTTAGTTTATTGATGACTGATACATTATTGAATCTTTGTAAGGTTTAAATAGACGTGCGGTGAATATAAGACGAGCGGCGGATATATCCGCCCCGAGAAATTCTCTTTTTTTTACTCCATCCATCCATAATGCAATTTAAACTGACGATAATTTTTTAAAGTGTTGCATTTTGTGATGCATTTTTAACGCGCGTTCAGATTGGAAGCAACAAGTGGCAACTTTTGTAACGTCACATGCAATTTAATCAACGAGAGATGCACAATACACATAACACACTCAGCAATCATAATTTATATAGTCGTTTTGACTAAGTTCGACTAAATTGCCTGTAATAATTGTTTAATTAAATATAAGCAAGTAGAGTTGAAAGTTATCTTTGAGATGATGGAAAATCCGAATGTATTATATATAATATGATGCCAGCCAGCGTTGATGTTCGGTATTCAAAGTGCTACTATATCTCCTTTATGTTTGTTCGTGTAAACTCTTGCGGTTTTGCGAAGTTGCTGCAACCACCTGGCCGGAATCCAGGCGTCTTCGAGAGCACCGTAATTTTCGCATATCATCGATTTCGCAACAAAAGGCTATCCTGGAAAATTGCTGGAATTAATTTCCTAATAAAACTGTATATCTGCAGTGCGTTGAAAACTATGCCTCGACATTATGAAATTGCAAATATTGAATATTTAACTAGTTGAAGAAAAAAAGCTACAGGAAATTAATTGAAAGTTTTTTTTTTGCGACGCGATTAAGTCACTTCCGCAGTTTTGCGAAGCGGATTACATGCACTATTTAAGAGATTCATCAAAGCCGATTACGTCAGAAGGAACGGAGAACCTGCTGGCCTCGCGATCAGAGTCGAGCCCTTTTCTCTCAAGTTTCGAACGCAATCGAGCGAACGCGAACTCAACTTTATTCACTCATGTGATTATAATTATGCAAGTCTTTCGTTTTACACTTGGAACTCTTGTTAAACAGGCGGAAATTTTATTAAGAAATTTTCCTTAATTCAGTAAAAATTAATGAATATTGAACTAAATTATCAAATATAGTAATTTTGGTTTGGTTAGTTAGTTACGTTAGTTTAGTTACTATGGTTACTTAAAGTAATTTTTGTTTATGTTAGGTTACGTTAAAAACATTTGAAATAACATACATTACTTTTTAGATTAGTTAACATTTCGTAGCAGTTAGTACAAGTTGCATTTGGTTAGTTAGTTACGTTAGTTTACGTTACTATAGTTACTAAAAGTAACTTTTGTTTGGTTGTTTAGGTTAGGTTACGTTAAAAACATTTGAAATAATATACATTACTTTTTAGATTAGTTAACATTTCGTAGCAGTTAGTACAAGTTGCATTTGGTTAGTCAGTTACGTTAGTTTACGTTACTATAGTTACTAAAAGTAACTTTTGTTTAGTTGTTTAGGTTACGTTAAAAACATTTGAAATAATATACATTAATTTTTAGATTATATAACATTTCGTAGCAGTTAGTACAAGTTGCATTTGGGTAGTTACGTTAAGTTAGTTTACGTTACTATAGTTACTTAAAGTAACTTTTGTTTGGTTGTTTAGGTTAGGTTATGTTAAAAACATTTGAAATAATATACATTATATCATCAGGTAATCTAAAAGTTAAATAGTCTATAAGCTACTATTTGTTACATCTTTTAGTATACGTTTATTTCTACGTATTTCTGTAAGGACTTAGTATAAATTCAAGTATTAAAGTGTGCAGGCAACGCGGAAGTCCTTTA